TCCAATTTTCGATTCCCATTCCATCCCAGGGCCTCCTTGGTGATAATAATTTTCTTTGCCTTAACGTTGTATCTCTTATATGACATTTTATCTCATTATCTAGAAGTTTTTCGCCTCAATATATCCCATATTTTGACTGTTGTATAGACCTCGACACGATACCCAATTGACATCATGCGTCAAAAATGCGTACTTGATGTAAATACAGTGTACACTACTTACCTCAACCTGTAATTAATATTTTTTCAAATTGCACTTCATCCCCATCTCTCTGGAGTTGGGAAAATGACTGAAGAAAGTATTGGTAAAACGGATTGATTTTAAATATCACTACTCGTACTGAAATCTTATATCATGGGGGTTATTTATCATGCTGATTCCAAAAATGGTACTCATTTTGCTTGATAGCCGTTCATCGATTCCCCATAGCTAAGTTTGGAGTTATTTGGTGTGCCAAGTGGAAGCGCAGATCAGAGGTAAGGAGGCTGTCTCTCCAGATTGCTCACGTGATTACCGATGTTTCCAGATTGCCTATTCCAATTACTTTTATCACTTCTGACATTCATTGGGCTTTCGATGCTATCGTAGGTTCGAGCGCTTAAGAGGTAATGTATGATGTTTGGTGAATTTTTTTTTCAAACTAATCTATCAAACTGAAGATATTTTTATGACCTGGAAACTCGGAAGAGCAAGTTCTACCATTGCTTAGACATTATGTGCACAGCAGTCTCGAGTCTTCCATTCATAGAATAGATGATATGCGAAATGAGCATCATCTTTTAACTTGTGCAAAACAAGCTAAAAAGAATCTAAGCGATTCTGTTCAGTAACGGGCAGCTGCTGCAGCTAAAATAAATGACTATCGAGCAAAATGAGTACCATTTTCGGAATCAACATGATAAATAACCCCCATGATATAAGATTTCAGTACGAGTAGTGATATTTAAATTCAATCCGTTTTACCAATACTTTCTTCAGTCATTTTCCCAACTCCAGAGAGACGGGGAGGAAGTACAAGTTGAAAAAATATTAATTGCAGGTGAGGTAAGTAGTGTACACTGTATTTACATCAAGTACGCATTTTTGACGCACGATGTCAATTGGGTATCGTGTCGAGGTCTATACGACAGTCATATTTTGCCATAATTTTCCCATATATTGCCATAATCATTGCGTGCATTGCTTCTGTAATCGTTACAATAGTCCAATAAACCTTAGTGTAGACGATTTCTGCACAAAACCACGATAAACCGATTAAAAATGGAATGGAGATGGATGACGACAAAAACAGTAGAGAGCGTGCTCCATTCTCAGACACTTTTTCCGACGGCCCGCGCGCTTTCATGAGCCTACCGTGCGAGCGGCGCGCCTAGATTTGTGGGCGTGGCCTCGTTTCCGACGGGCGGCGCGCCATCGAAACCTGCCGTGCGAGCGGCGCGCCTTGCCTTCGACGGGCGGCGCGCCATCTTGAGTGACCGGGCGAGCGGCGCGCCATCAACAAATGTGCAAGAACAACGAACATGTAACTTAACAAGACGCGTAAGCATCATTTTGAATTCGTTGTTAGCCGTAGGAGGTTGCATTTTTTATCGCATATCGTTGGTTGCTTGTCCGTTTTGCCGGCTAATCGTCTCCATTCTCTGTAAGTTTTTTCTGGTTCACATGTGTACAGCCATTGTCAATGTGCTCCCTATTCCGTAGCATCTTAGCGTCCGTATTGCGTCCGCTATTCGGCTATCCGGGCCCCAAAATTTTTGTCATGGATTTCGCTCAAACTTGGCCTAGAGGAGTTATCTGAGGCGCTGATCACAAATATCACCTTTTCACCGCAGGAAAACGCCTCCATGCACGGTTACGGTTGGTATACGGTAGGGGGCCAACATCATAGATTTGCCCGAAACTTGGCCCAGAGGGGTTATTCGGCCCGCTGATGCTGAATATCACATTGGTTTTGAACCGTAGCGCCATTTTCTCGGATTACGGTAGCTACACGATGACGATGTAAAACGTAGTTCTGCTTCAAACGGGTGTACGTCGATTCGGACGATCTGAAGCTTTGCACACACGATCACCGCCGTGCGCTACACACCCTGCTGCGGCTTTTGCCTAAGCAAAGCACGGGAAAAGATACATTTGCCAATTTGTGATTTCGGCCCCTACCACTATGCAGGGAGACGTTTTCGTGCAGAGTGGTTTTTTGGTGCCATCACCAGAGTTGTTTGCTATGCTTTTTCCTGATAATACAATATTTTGAAAGATGTATCGGGCCGCAGTCAGTCTCAAGCGTAAATCTGGAGGAACACAAACGTATGCGAAGCCTAGACCTGTTTTTCTACCATGTCTCACTGGGTTGGTTGTTATCTGGTTTTATTAGCTCTAGTAGTTTCGTTTTCAGTAGAGAGAATCCTTTTGTGGAAAATATTGTCGAAGACGAAGCGGCACCCTCAGATATCCAGACGGAATTAGAAGTCCACAAGGTTCATAGCTTTTGCTTTTTTCGTTTCTGTTATGTTTCCTAGACTTTGTTTTTCAGGTAACGTGTACGAAAGACGCGAGTTTGACGTTGAAACTCCCCTATGAGGAGTTCAGTCTCTTCCGTTGCCTAGATCACTTCATGAATGCGTTGACAACGGAATCTTGCACATTGACAGGGCAGCCCGTTTGATTTTATCGAAGATGCATCGCCAAGAGTTTAACGAAGCGGTCTATTACGTAAGTACGAGTACATTGTTTTTGATAAAAACATACAAATTGATAGTGACAGTAACATAATAACATACAAATTCACAGTGATTGAGAATTTGATTTCAGACGAGATATAAGGTCCTACAATTACGAGTCAGGAAAATGGATAGCCAATAAGGTGAGATTTTGTGCATACTTAAGTAATGATCTGACACTTCTTTTAGCGCCAGAAACGTGCCGCACCAGCCGAAGAGAAGGAAGTTACTGACCGAAAAAGGATTACGTAGCAGCAACTCAATCATCAGCTAACGCCTGTCAACATCTGCGTAATTTCCTTTCCAACGTCTCCTCCAGAAAAATATGATTGTCTAGGTTTTTCTTTGTGTGTCCTCTTTATAAGTTGTTCAGTGTCTTATCTTTAGTGTTTCATCTTTCGTAATATAATGGTACCTTGCTTCAAACTTCCATCAAGATTTCCGTGTTCACTGCCTCAGTGTCATGATTCTGACAGGATTCCGGTCTTTTTTTGCTTAATCAGGTCATTCTTACAGGTGTCTATCAGTGCTTTCTCAGTATCAGCATGGCTGTTATGTATTCAATAGGGGCTTAGCGTAAAAGCGTATTGATGATATTATAGTTGTTGCCTGTTGTGTTCTGCTTTTGATTCTGTATTATGTCTTTCTGTATGTCTTTGGATAATAAATCTGCCATAATCATACCTGTACACATGTTTGGCAATAAATCTGACGCTATGAGGTCGTATTTCGATGACAAGGTATGAATTTTATCAAAGGATTGCTATCTGTATCACAATAGGGTCCTACAACGCTTTCGAAGGAGCGGGCGAGCGGCGCGCCTACAGCGAGCGAGCCGCGTACCTTCATTCCACGGGCGGCGGGAGGCATGAGCGCTCGCACGCTCAGGGCGCGCGGGCCGTCGGAAAAAGTTGAGTTGGCTGTCTTTGACTAGGATCAGGCCTGTACCGGCCGGTGATCGCGCGACCTAGACGATGGGAAAACGCGCTCTGTTGTCGGTCTGTTGCGCCGTTCCCCAGTATACACCGGCTGGCGGCCGTACCTTTTTGGCTGGCGGCCGTTCCTTTCCGGCCGGCGGCCGTCCAAATACCGGCCGGTGGCGTAGACTACGCGGCTGTGTGAAATGACCTGTGGTCACGCCAGCCGCTCTTTGTGCGGCCGCCAGCCGGTGCAAGTGTCTGAGCATGTAAACTTGCTAAACCTCCACGTCATAGCATTGCTTTTCGTACTCTCTCGCTAGCAAAAACCGCCACGCAGTGAGTTGGCAAGACTCCACCCCCACACGAATCTGGATAAATTCGTTCGAGACAGCTTGTCGTGAGCAGGCGCCAGACATATCCGCTTCAATCGGTTCATCCGGTTCGCCCCATTCGCTATTGGTCAACTCAGTTATTTGACCATTAGTAAATGAGCAAGTGGGTGAACTGGATAATCCGGTCGGACGGATTAAGTAATGAGGAAGACGAATTCTCAAGAGCAGGTTGCTCGCCTATTGCCACTGAAGTGGCAGCAAGAATCCTCCCTGAGTACGCATGCGATCGAGACCATGAAGACACGCATGCGCATCAATTTTGGCCTGATAAGGATTGTGAACAAACTTGGGAGCAGACTGTATTTCGTGATTTGCGCTGCATGTTACCAAGAGAAGCATTGCCGAAGGGGTAAAGGACTAAATGTCGCCGAAAGTGGAAGGTGCGCTGATTATCTGCTGCATTGTCCGCGGGACCCTCCCACTTTCGGCGATAGTCATCTTCCACCGCCGAGGGGATCGAGAATGAGGAGAAACAAACGATTACCATCAGGATCGCGAAGAGCATACGCAAATGTGACTCAAAATCATAGCGAGGCGCGCATCGCTATGATTTTGCACGGTGCGCATGTCATGCTATATAATGGCCTTATCCGGATTGGGACACACTGAATCCACTGAATCTGTAATTCCTCAGAAAGAGAATTCAAATAGCAGTGTTTGAAATGCAAATTGAGTTTATCAACGTCATCAAATGATGCAACTTTCGAACTCTTTTTGTCGTTCTTCTCTAACAATGCATGGCATATCATAACAGAAGTGTAACACATCACATTCCCACTGAAATTATTGAGGCTGCCTATTTATTGTGCACAGTTACATACATATAGTGTGACTGCGTTTGGGGACCCACCATCAACCGCGCACAGTTCTTTACGCAAAATCCTAGCTTTCAGTAGTCTAAAGCTGCAGACTTTTTTCACTTAATTTTTTTTGAGTAAGTCCATCACTATGCTTGGGGGTTGTTTCAGTATTGTTTTACGAAGAAGTATCGTGACGTTTGGGATCCCTTTTCCTAAGTCGGCAAGAGCTCTGGTGCAAATGGTATTACAAACGAAACCTGCTGCGATGCTGCCGTTTTCTAGTAAGTGTTTCCTGTATATGCATACCTTGTCTTGAACCTTATGTAACTTACATTACTGTTTTGAAAAATGTAAGCTTTTAGTATGCTCACTAACTCAACATGATGTTCTACTGATTTGTCATTTGGAGTTTCTACCCTAAATTCAAGCAGTTTTCTGATGTTGACCGCGGAGCACATCTAGCTTTCTTTTCTTTGAATCGTTGAGCATACTTAGGTATAAAAGAAAAAGACAATTCAGGAGCGGTCGAAGTGCCTGCATCCAGTGTACTTTTTAGTTGAGTACGGCAATAACTCTAATTCAGCTGTGGCAGATTTGGAGGAATTTATGATGAACGCGAGTAACCGTATGACATCCCTTATGAGGGAGGAGTGCACTCTCATTTTTCAATGCAGGTGGGTTATCCTTAGGCCTAAGGCATACCTCACGCGATTTTAGTCGCCGCGCGATTTGGCACTACAACGACTCTCCATAGCTGGTCGTAAACGCACTTTGCTTGGACCAGACTTGCTGTCAATGTTACAATTTACGGAATCTACGCACCCATGCATCTGAGAGCCTCGCATGCTTAACCTATAGACATCTGGCAAATCGCCAAGTCGCGAGGATGTGGCGATTTCGCGAAATCGCGAGAGGTACGCCTTGAGCCTTAGGCCTTGGGCAGAGTTCACGCGATTTGATCGTCGCGATTCAATCGCTAGAGACAAGTGTTACGAGTTCGTTGCATGCCGATCTTCTCGCATTTCGGTTGTGATAGTTTTCCAACACAACTAATCGTGAACTAATCACAACCGAAATACAAGAAGATCGGCATGCAACAAATTCGTAACGCTTGCGTTGTAGCGATTGTATCGCGACGATCAAATCGCGTGAACTCTGCCCGAGGCCTTACGCCATATGCCTTGCAATCTTACATCACCTCGGAAAGTCTGTGACGTAAATTCGCTCTTGTTTGTACAGCAGACGGCGCCAGTTTGACTTGGAATCAAATACTGCTCGTCATAGGGTTGGAAGGAACAGTGGATATTTTACATGAGAATTTATTCATTAGATTTTTCGCTTGATATAGTGTGCTCGGGTGCCGAGAGGTGGCGGCAAATATAGCGCGTGAATAAATGTTACGGCTTTAATGCGAGCTACTTGCGCAAGCAGATCGCCGGTATTTTAGGCGTAACTTTTGTTCACGTGCAAGTTTCACCGCAAACTCTCGGCACCGCACACACTCTATCAAGCGGAAAATTTACTAGACTATAATAAATTCCACTTGGCAATTTCGCGTTTGGTCGAGGTTGTCAATACCAGAACAGCGGCTGCACAAGTGCAATTTAAGCAGTCTTGTACAGATAAGGAATCCTGCGGAAAATGGTAAATTCGTTTCCTTTCCAGGTGCTGCGCAAACATGTTCCGTCGTCTGCCTAACTTTATCTTGCACAAACGAAAGTATTGCAAGAATAAGTCCATGAATGTATGCAATTCAAAAATTCGTATTCTTGCTAGATCCACCTCGCAAGAGAGTGGCACGCACACTGCATCCAGACGGACCCAATCAGGTGAGTTTATCTTTTTAAATTGGTAAAATTGCAGACTAGTAAAGGCTTTTCTTAACAGTTTGTTCGCGTTCATCCTCAGTTCCTCAAACGCGGCATCAATCAAAGCCTTCTTTTCCAATTCGCAGAACTAATATCGTACGCTACATAATCAACAAAGCATCGCTGGTCGAATCAAAGTTGACTGGGAATATGGTGAGCATTTGGAATGCAACTTCTGCGGCGAAATGGTTTTTTAGGGCACAACTGATCTAATTTCGTTGCCAAAATTTCGTAGGCAAGTAGTCGTTGCACCCACAAGTGATGGAAACACAAAGGTTTGTTTGTGTTTGTAATAAAAGCGGCTGTAACTATCGGAGATGTATTTTCAGTGTTATGTCGAAGCTCCTCATGTTTGCACAAAATACGATAATTCTGACGAAGTGCTTCTAGTGGTTCCGCAGGATCTCTCGCTACAGTACGTCTTGTTGATGTGATATTTTTTCAAAAAGTTAGAACGCTTAGCAAACATAGGCTGTCTCATGACGCTATTTCACCAGAGGCTAAAATCGCGCTGCCACTTTGCTCGGGCCTTGCGCCGCGTTGCGACCGTATTCTCTGGGTTTTTTTTTTCTACGCCTGAGACGCAGTTGACGGTAAACGAGCTAGAAATAACAGAGGATACGTTAGTCGAGGCTGTCGCGAGGGACCGAGTCCAGGAGCTGCGCCACTGTCATTGAGACAGCCTACACCAACAAATGATGTCAGCAACTGCAGCTTCGCGTCGAGCTCTTGTTTTTGCACAGAAAATATTCCGGAAACCAGTGCCGACTTTTCAGGCCATATATGTACGTAACATTAGTTGGGTTTTAAACGTTTTTTCGAATTGTTGCGGTCGTCTTTTAACATTTGCTTAGTACAATGACGTCTTGACCATATAATGATCTAGACAAAGCGGTTTTCATTTTTGTTTGAGTCGGGAACGTCCATGAAGCGAGCTCTGTTTTTTGTGGCACAGCCACAAAAGCCACAAAGGCACAGCCAGTTCATACCATTATTGATGGTGAGCCAATCTTCGTCAGTGTTGTAAATTTTTTTTACAGGTATTCCAACATGAGTCTCAGGAGGCGGACTGCCCAACCCGTTGCAAGAAAAGTCACCATCAGTGAGGTGAATAGAGATTTGCCAACTTTTTACGCACAATCACAATTTATTCCAGGCTGAGTGCGTGAGTCGCATGAAAGATTTCGTCGAAATTGATCCAATTGAATGTCGTTGTTTGCATCCAAGGTGCAGTGAAATTCGCGCTTTTGGCGACATCTTTGCACTAGCTTACCATGTTTCGGTGAAACATTGCCACAAGATAACCCCAGCCAACGTCTTACCTTGCATGATATGCTCCAAAAGTTTTATAAGGTAAGAGATTGTACGGCTCGATGGTCACTTTTTTGGAGGATATAGTTGGCTTATTTCAATGGTAAGCGAGTCGTCGCGTGCAGACAAAGGGTGTGGTTACGGGCACTGTCGGCATCTCTCTGGCCAAGCGCATCTTCATTACTTTTACCTCTGTCATTTCTTTCATGCATGAACTGTCTTGACGGTTCGCAATTGCACCAGTCTCTGTGTGCGATGGCTCTCCTGTAATGGTGAGGCTTATATCGAACACTTCCTGCACGTTGCAGTGGCTATACCATGCATAGGTTGTGTATATATGACTAGCCATTTTCTGCATTCTCTAAGAAGCTCCCATTATTGAGAGAGGATGATGCGAAGGGGGGGGGGGACGTGCAGGAGGAAGCAAAGGCCAGTCACCTGTGTTCGCAAAAGATAGTACATAATTGGAGGCGTGAGCACTGCGGAGGAGACCAGGTCCCAAGAAAACTTACAGGGGAATGGTCAGATATCGAAGTGGCTAATCCGGACAAGCTGCGCACCGTTAGATGCAGCATGAAGCGCTGATTCTAAATCTGTCTTCGTTATCTGCTTATCGCTTTTCTGGACGAAGCCATAAGCCATTAAATGCCAATTTTTGCCAAGGAATTATGCGAAAGGTGAAAATTTGGCCGTACAGAGCCGTTGACAGAATTAAGCCAAACGGCCAAAATTTGGCCGTTTGGCTTAATTCTGGGCCAAAACATGCAGTTAACTTGCTTCAAATTCTCAAGGCCTAAAGCTAAGCTGAGATTGCAACCATATGCTTAATTTCACAGTTTTTATGTACGATTTTCTCACAATAAAACTGCTTGTAGCTTCGTCCACAGAAGCGATAAGCAGATAAGGAATATAGATTGAATCAGCGTTTCGTACTGCATCGAATGGTATACAGCTTGTTGGTTTGGCCACTTCGACTTCTGACCATTCCCTTGTTAGCAAGGAAATTCAGCAAGATTCTTGGGGAACTAGATGCTTATAACATTGCTTGGAGGAAAATTCAAAAAAATTGAGGCAGTTCTGTGATCTGCATTATAAGAGCTCAATCTATTATCCTATGGTTAAATGAAAAATTTGTTTTGCATTTTCAAAGCAGTATCGAATTCGCATCCAAACTTACATGCATGGCACATCGCAAAATAGTCAGGAAAAGCGTACTATGCCCTACTTGTGCATACAGAAGTCAAACGCTTTGTTTACAAATTGAAATGCAGAAATGAAAATGAAGTTCTTGTTTCTCGAACCTTGGTTCATTTGGAACCCATTTCAATGAATTCAAAACCTATACGGATTCTAACGTGATGCATATGAATCTTACTCAAATCTCGACAGCTCGCCATCTTGTGCAATTTCAAGAAACTGAAGCTGAGCTTGCAAAGATTTAGATCAGCAGAAACTCCAGAATTTCTAAGGCTAACGAATTTTTAAGGCTAACGAATTTCAAGAATTCCTTGGATGCTAATAAGCATTTTCACTTGCTTGATACCTACAGCAGTTTTGAGAGTTAAAATTACAAGCTCAAGCCTTGATATTGAATGCTGATTCTGTTTTTACCTTCCATAACTCTATTTTCCGATTGATTTTGAAATTTTGTGCTTATCCAGGCCTATTCGCTACGCTGGATCCGAAAATGCACATTGGAGAGCGCGAAAACGACGAAAAACGGTTCACAGGAGGGAATTAGCAGGTGGGGGGGGGGGGGGGTCCTCCCTACTGTGAGTTCACGCTCCCAGCTTCCGGAGCGATCTCGCTTCCAGTTTCAAGTCAGTCATTAGCACTTGGCCGGTAGCGATGTTAGGACGGCTAGCAGAATCGAGAAGACCGCTCCGGAAGATGGGAGCGGGAATTACATGGGTAGGACCCCGCCCACTTGCTGTTTCCCTCCTGCGCTAGAGACCTTTTTTGGTTTCGCGCTTTCCATTGTGAATTTTCGGATTCAGCATGGCGAATAGGCCCGTATAAGCAGAAAATCTCAAAATCGAGTTTTTGCTTGGACACTGCCTTTAAGAGCACACCCACCCCTCAATAGAAGGCTGTCACTCATAAAAGTCCACTAGTTGGCAAACCCGGCTCCGCCCGGCCCTGTCAATAACATATTTGTAATCAGCATGCTCGATTACCCCCTTGTGCCAACTCCCAGCCCCGTAGCTCAAATTTTGCAAAAAATCGATAAAATCGATATCAGTCGTAACGAAAATTAGCCTATAACACGCTCCCTGCCCCGAAGTGTATGTGTGCCAAGTTTGGTCCAATTCGGTTCAGAAATAAAAATTTCTATTCCGCACATACGTACAGACATACAGACAGACACACACACACATTCAGCTTTATAGATAAGATGTGTCCAAACGACTGGCCTGGGCCATCCAACCTGATCAGGCGGAGTCGACTGCATATACTGCAGCCGGTAACACAGTTTAAGCACATGGAGACTAAGGGCACCAAAACACCTCCATCGTGAATTACTTACGTCCTTCGCATGGCATTAGATAGGAAGGTGGTTTCGAATGTTGAAGGCAGTGTCCATGCAAATTTAGACACATGGGACTTACTTGGAAACTATTGAGGGGCCTGACTAAAACAGTGCCCAAGGGCAGCGCGGATGATTCATCCATGTCCATGATTCGTCTCCAAACCTATGAAAACCGTATTCAGCGGACGACTTGCATCGGCCTGCATGCTTTTGCGAAACCGGCCCGGTTTATGCAAGTCGTCTGCTAAGGTTGTGGGGACAGAATTAGAGACGAATTTCATGGCCGCGGATGATTGCGCTGTGCTTTGGCACTGTTCAGGGCAGGGCCTCTCAAGTTTCCCCGTGAAACCAGTGCCCAGATCTGCTTGGACACTGCCATTATCGTAAGTTCAGTTGGCGCTGTATCATAAGGCGTACGGATGAACACATTTCCATGCTGTGCATACCCTGGATGCTGATGGCCTAAGAACGCATTACGGAGTGAATGCTTCTCCACGGCCTTTCTCATAGCTTCCATCTTATATATAAAGCTGAATGTCTGTTTGTCTGTCTGTCTGTATGTATGTATGTATGTATGTATGTACAGGGCTTTACAACCTGAGTGTCCCACCCGCCCCGCTAGGACGCCACGCTTAGGTCCGCGCAGCGTTCGTGGCGCTGGCTGCGCGTCGACTGAAGCTTGGCGAAATCCGGGCGATACGCAGCAAACGCCGCGCGCGGCCTGAGCGAGGCGGCCACGTTGGAGGAGCCGCGCAAGCGAAACTTGCGACTCTCAGGTTGAAAAGCCCTGTATGTACGTATGTTCCGAATAGAAAATTCCATTTCTAAACCGATCGGGACCAAACTTGGCACACATACACTTCGGGCCCCGGCGGGTGTCATAGGCTACTTTTCGTCATCGATGGGTATCGATTTTATCGATTTTTTGCAAAATTTGAGCTACGGGGCTGGGAGTTGGCACAGGGGTGTAGTCGAGCATGCTGATTACGAATATAATAATGACAGGGCCGGGCGGAGCCGGCTAAGTCAACTAGTTCATAAATATTTTCCGCTGATCCTTTTATCGTGATTGCTGATGACGAGACTAGCCTTGATTGCTTATACATCCAGAGATTCAGTAAGAAAATCAAAGAGAATGCTTTGCGTTCATGGCAGGGGTAGTGCAATCTCTTTCGAGATCACTCATCTAATTTTTGGTGATAAATGGGAAGAAAAATAATTCACTTTTTCCGAATCAATCTGGGTGGAAAAGTTTGCTATTGGAAATTGAATGGAGAATTTCATCTAAGGGCCAGAATGTTTGTCTTCCTTCAGACTCGCGCCATGCAGAGATCGGATAGAGCTGCTGACGCAGCATATAATAAAACAACTGATCTTATAGTAGCCAGATTAAATAACACCTGCCAGCTCAGTTTTTGGTTTAAATGCATCTATTGATATCGGAGGCGGTCCCAGGATTTCGGACCGGGGGGGGGCGACATAAATTCTTTTCAAATGAAGGGCGTGGCGTTAGCCACGCACTCCGAGTTATATTCAAAAAAAGCAAGGGACTTCTTTCCTCCCCCCCCCTGAGTTTTATCTTGTGAATGCAATATCTTTTTCCTTTCAGCTGGGAAACATACTACAACCATATCTCCAAAAAACATGAGAAAGTCCTCCAGGCGCACAGATTTTATCGCGATAACGAACTCAAGAAGCGTGGAAGAAAATCTAAGGTCTGTCTCCATCTTTTAAGTTTTGTTATGAGCTGATTTTGACGGATTTAAGGATGGCGGAAAGACTGACAGAAGCATGAGTCCAGTAGTAAGTGGTAGAGAACGTGATGAAAACGAAGCTGCACACAAGGTCTTTTTCTGTTTTTTTGTAAGTCTCACCAAATTGTATTTTTTGCATCATTTCAGGAGAACATGGTGCCAGAATCTTCCTTTCCAGTTCTTCCTTCACCTGATCCCACTGGGGCCACGGTCGCACTAAATCCTCCAAAAGCATCTGCTACCAATACTAGCAGAGCTAAGCCTTCCAGTGATATTAAAGCAGCTGCAGAAAGGCTTGAAAGTATCGTAAAAAGACTTGCCAAGTTAAGAACTGATACTCATATAACACTAAAACCCTCAACAGATGACGAATCAAGTGCTGCATCTTCCCATGTAGAGGAGCATCTAGGTAGCGTTGCTAAGAGCGACACTGTCAGTGTGCACACCGATCAAATTCCGCAAAAAGAGCCACATGGAAATGCGGATGAAAATCCAGAAGAAGCTGCTTTTCACGATACGATCGCAAGTAGTGCTTCACCGCTATTCGCGCACCTTGAGGCCATCTCTGACGATGAACTACCACTTTCCCCGCAACCTGCGGTTATCTCTGATGATCACCCATCGCGACCTGTAGCTGAATCTAAAGATCCACCTTCTCCACATCCTGCAACTATTTCGTGTGAACCACCATCTCCTCAACTAGTGACCATCTCTGATGATGAGATAGATGTCGTCGACAGTGATGTTACCGAAGTTGCTGGAGTAGTTCAAGACGACGCACCACTTTCGCACGGACGGAAGGACAATGAGGTATGGTTCATTGTTTTCAAAAATGTAAGAAATTCATTGATTATAGCTGAATTGAAAATTTATTTTACCCACATTGTGAACGTTTTTAGCCATTACCAGCCAGCAATTCCGGTTACGCCAGGCCCTGTGAATAATATAATATATTCGTAACCAGCGTGCTCATTTATGGTTAGTTCGTTGACCGCACGGACTGGATATCAGTGCGGAGCACGCGCCACGAAGTAAAGTGCTTGCCCCAGCACAAATTCGCCATTGTACAAGTCCTGCTGTCGCGACAATTCAGTCGCGCCGCGCGTGGTTCGCAGCGTTTGGTCTACGAATTGACGGTAGCTCCTATGCCACTCCCAGACCCATAGCAATCGATATCGATCGATAACGAAAAGTTACCTGATGGCACCCGTCCCGGCTCGAAATATTATATGTGTGAAAAGTTCGTCCGTTTCGGCTCAGAAATAAAAAATTTCTATTCGGAACATTTATACAGACAGACGTACACACAGAGCAGACATACAGACAAACAGACAAACATTCATTTTTATTTATACGGAGATTCTACCATTATCAAAGGCACGAAGTCGCTTTTTGGAACATTTTTGGCTTCTGAAGTGAAGACTTCGAAAGGTCGGGAGATCGGAGGTGTTCTCCTCTCTGAAGGGCATTTGCTGCCAGAGCCAATCAGTCGATTGCCACCAAGTTGGGTGGCTGCATACATTCAGACCAGCTGCAGGTCGCTCTTATGCTGGTTGTCGATTCCAGTCTCGTCCATAGTAGTCTTCGTATTGAAGAAAAACGAATGTTTGACATCCTCATAAGCTGGTCACGATCATGGGCTAATCACATATATTGAACATCTGAGACGAATCCCCAGAGTGCTCATTATTCAAAATTTTCCGCTACACTTATCAAATGTTTTGAAAAGATAATACTTTCAGGTCAGTGCTTTTGATGAGTGGGAAGGAGCATCGACAAGGGCATGCAAATCTAGTGCTGATGACGATGATGTTGTATTTGTTGGTCAGTATTCTGTGGCTGACAACCTACCATCGTGCGGCATTACGGAATGCGATGTGGTAGGATCTGATAGCATAAGGCGGTTCCCATCCACGCAGTCTTCGTACCTTTGCGGCGGTGAAGATTATATAGAAGTTAGTTTCATGTTTGGTGGAACTTGGTTATTTATGAAGAACGCATTAATTAATATTTTGGTAATGAAAGTAGTCAGAACTCAATTTTGAAGGGCATCCAGCTTAGAACTCGATAAATAAAGTCTTCAAAAAATTGTTTTTTGAGGATGTGGATGCCGACGTGGACAACTTGTCGACCACTGTGTTCCCAGGGACATCGAACAGTTACGGAAGCTCTGAAAGCGATTACCCACATCATGTGGAATCGCAAGCTGATAAGGTGGTCATCATAAGTGAAAATCATATTTGGTTTATTTCGAGCTGAACATTTTACGTTATTGTACGGTAGACTGTTCTTACATGGCTAGATTATTTTCTAGTCCCAGGAGACCGAGGAGATTGCACCGCCTCATGTTGGCAGTCCGAAGGTAGTGGAGTTGGAATCTCAGGTACGAGTTGCGCCTGCACCTGCACCATCGCCCGTACCTGAGCCCGTTTTTGTCCATGATTACACAAAGCTGCTAACTCATGCCGAGGTACCAACACAATTACTTTTTCACTACCTAGAAAGTGTGCATGATCGTTGTCTGCACATACATACAGGGTGTCCCAAAAAAATGTATCGAACGTTTGATCGTTAATATCTCTCTTCTAAAGAAGTCTTTTCTCTTGCTTCAGGTACCAATCTGTAGAGCTGGCTTCAACTTAGATCTGCATTATAGATTGAATCACCCATCTCTCTTCATTACTGTAGGATTACGGTAGAAACTTCAAAGAGGGTTCTAAACAATGAAAGGCCATATTTTGCCTCAGAAAGGAAACAAAACAGCCTGCAAGCTTTTACACTAGGCTAATTAGAGTTGCTGGTTATAACTGTAAACTTCCCAACTTATTGTGATGCTTCATTGAAGAGTTATGCCAGGTAAGAGGTAGCGGCCTTTTTTCAATGTTTTTGTAAAGTGCGGTTACGCCGTTTAGAAAACTTCGTAATCTTGTGAATAGTTGAATATTGAACTCAGCGTCCATAAAAACCTTATTGCACAAGTTTTCACAATTTTTTGAAAAATTTTGAAACGGCAGCTTTTTCCACATTGGCACCATATGTTTCAAGTTTATACCGTAATCCTACAGTAATGAAGAGAGATAGGTGATTCTTTCCATAACGCGAATCTAAGTTGAACAGCTCTACAAAAGGGTACCTGAAGCAAGGCAAAAGACTTTTTGGGAAGAGAGATATTAACGATCAAACGTTCGATACATTTTTTTGGAACACCCTGTATTATGACACGAAATTTTGCAGATACGCGAACGTTTGGGCGATGGTGATGGAGGACTTACTAGTGCAGAAAATGGATGCGTATCAGATCAGTCAACCTTTCAGGCCTGTCCTCATCTTACTTTTGATTTGATTACGGTTAACCAGCTTTGACATGCGAAATAACGTTCATAATTTATGTATTGTTTCTTTGAAGTCTTTAAAGGCAGGATGCACGCAAGTCGGAGTACCCCGGGCTTTTTATTGATTTCCCGTTGAAAAATTTGCTTGTTTTTCAAATTTTTCATGGATTTTCCGTAGATAGGAATTTTCCAATCAAGCCATTGCCTCAGCGATAGCTTACGCAATTTATTCGTTGCCCACAAAAGTGTGAGCTTTCTTTCAGATGAAACCCATCAGGCGCACGGCATATCTGATTCACTCCATCCATGGCTATGAGTCAGCAATTTGACAAATAGAGAAGTGGATGAAGTGGACAAGTATGGTGGTTGCCTTTCAAATGGACCAATCAGCATATTGGAATACGGTACCGTTCATTTGGTGGGGTACACAGAATAGCTCTAGGCGCAAGCAGAGCTGAAACTCTCGCCTACGAATGTTTATATGAGCGATCAGTTAAGATGTTAAACAGTGTCCACGTTAGGCACGCACCACACTTGATCCGCTTGATTCGCTACGTCGTTGGTCAATTCACTGAACCGACCAATAGCGAAGCGAATGAAGTGGATCAAGAGGATCAGTTGGACAACCGGCTATTGCTCATTTCACTGAATCGACCAATGATGAAGCGGAAGTATGGCGCGTGCTTAAGAAATCTTGTAACCGAATAGAGGGAATCGTGTCGCTGAAGGGGGTGTTCCAAGCGGATATCTGCAACTACCATGCAGCAGTGGCGTACCGAGGGAGGGCCCCTCCCCCGAGAACGGGTCACGAAATTTTTGAAAGTTACTTACATGGGTTATAAAATTGTGCAAATGACTTGTCTGCACTTGTAAATAATTAAAATAATTTTTTAAATTTTTTAAAAATTCAATTTAGCCTTGTTTTTTCCCTTTTTCTAAAATTTTAGGGTTATGGGCGCGCGAAAATTTTCAAAAGCATACCAAAAATTTTTTCTCGGTGCATGGCTATCGCCCCGCACCTTCACCAGAAAAAATTTTTTGTCGCCCCCCCCCCCCTCCGAGCCGAAATCCTGGGTACGCCACTGCCATGCAGCCATGAGACATTACAGATTTGTACCGGTCCGCACGGGGTGGAGCCCATTAGCGACACATAAGCACCTGCCTTCAGTTTTTCTTGTGGTTAATGTCCTGACAAACATTTGTGACATACACCATCAGTACCCAAATTTCCTAGGTGTTATGTTTCAGAATGGATCCAGTATGAGCGTTCCGCCTCCATTTTTCATACAGAAGGAGGAAACATCTTCATATGGTCTCAAAAGACCTCAAAGTGAGCCAGTCATGTACGGTGACGAGAAGAAATCAGTGTCAAATACTCATGTATTTGCTGAATATCGAGCAACTCCATACTCTTACTCTACCTCGAATGTTTACCAAACCGTGCCACCGGCGAATCCCATTGCTGCTTCTTCACCCGCGAGTTACGCCTATTCTATGGCAACAATGGCGATTCCTCCATCTGAGCAACCGTACTTCCAACAGAACTGTGGTTATGGCGGTCAAGAGGGACTGTATGTTAATCCGGTGACCTATGGTGACAATCTAAGCCGTCAACAGAAGGTAGTATTCAGAGCCTCCCTAGAAATGTATTACCAGCTTGGTTTAGTGCCAAAGAACCAGACGTTTGCCTGCACGGTATCGAGATGACCGTTATGTGTGCACGCTTGGTGATGGAGGACGCAGCAACGAGGTATATTAGTTTGAAACGAGAACTCTTGCCCAATTCGAACAAAGTTCTATAGTTTTCAACTTGAAGCTGATTTTATCATTTTGCAAATTTATGGGAAGGTCTGCGCTCCATTATAAATGTTTGAACGTAAGCTCTATGAATTAGCCTTCAAGATCAAAGACTTCAGAATGCTCAGATAGTTGGAGCGTGCGGCGCACGCGCGTTTATGGTCAGCGGCAAAGCGAGTGCCTTATTTGTGGGCGTGTCCGGCACTACGCCAAACGCGTGCCATCCTAGACATTTGATGCGTGCGGCGCGCGTATTAATGGCCAACACCGCGACCCGCGCGCTACGTTTATGTTCGATCTCGCCATGCGCGCGCCTAATTTTGTAGCAGCCCGCGCGCCTGCAATTATCACATGCTGTAAGCACAGGGGATGCCCGCGCAGTGTACGACGCAGTGTTCAGGCTGCCTCATCATTCAAGAGGTTAGATGTTACATCGTGGTGTATGAATAGTCGCAGAAGTGGAAGTTGTTTTTTGCTTCCAAGCGTAGTCTTCGGTAGCACTGCAAATGGATGCTGGATCTGAAATCCTGGGTACAAATACGAATTCATATTCTTTGATGAAGAGTGGAATTCATTATCAAGAGCTGTGATATACAGCGCAATGAAGAACTGAAAAAAAAGGCAGCCATCCGCGGGCCAGCACCAGCGTCGCGGCATCCAATTTCCCGCCACCCGCGCACTGGGTGTTGCGCCACTGTGTGACTGCGCGCGCAGTGCCCGGCACGCGTTGGTTTGGAGGTTTTTAGGAAACGAAGTTCCCCATGACTTCGCGAAATTTTACGAAGTTCCTCTCGATGTGGAAATCAGTAGGGAAACCCTTATTCAACCAAAATAGCAACAAAAAAGCGAAAAAAGCGCATTTTGACGTATGTAATGTAACAAAAAAGCAAAAAGAAAACATTTCGAGTCGATTAAAGGCTCTGCCATTGGGCATAGTACCATTTTGATGCTGGGAATGTAGAAAATCTCCTATGCCAACCAAATCTGTAGCCTCAACAATCCTGCGATGCATTTTTCGCCACATATTTCAAAGGACATCGCAAGTGATTGGAGCGCGATATCCATCAACGCGTAGTTTTACACTATTTTTGCCTCGAAAAAAGAGGAGAGGTAACGGTTTGATCCGCTCTCTTCACTATATGATAGATTTTTGACCGTTCTAATCGTCCAAATCAAAAAGGTCCAAAACTTATGTGAACTTACCGATATTTATGCTTTGAACCAATTATGAGGCAACCTGATCACCGCATCGTCAGCACGCGGTTATCCCTTGCGGTTAAAGGCACCGTCCACCCTAAGTTGAGGATGTTAAGCTTTTGGCAGCATATAATGGTAGGGCCCCCATCAATCCATTGCCCAAGTCGCGACGCAAAAGTCCGCTTCGGAAGCGAGGCGCTTCGGAATAGCGAAGATGCACGAGGATCCCCATACATGCCCGCCCTCTTCAACCATGCCCGCCCATTTGTGCGCGCCCATCCAATCACCGTTCCGGAAAGTCGGCCTGTGGGTTCTCCGGGACGGGGATTGCCGGGGTTTTCGAGCATTCTCGACTTCATATTCGGAATCAGGGACATGGGAAGGCTCTGAAACGACAAAAACGTGGAAGTCGGAAATCTGGATGGACGGTGCCTTTGAAGCATGCATGTGATAATTGCAGGCGCGCGGGCCGCACGGGTAGAGAGAGTATAAAGGCACGCGCGCTGCTTGCTAAAAAATTAGGCGCGGGGGTTCGCGAGATAACGAAGGGCGCGGATCGCGTTGTTGGCCATTAATGTCTAGGATGGCACGCGTTTGGCGTACTGCCGGACACGCCCCAAATAAGGCACGTGCTTTGCCGCATTGACCATAAACGCGCGTGCCGCACGCTCCAACTGTCTGAATAGTAATCAAAGTTTTTTGGGCTAACTAGCGTCCCTTTGCATGGCACCAAATTAAAAATCGCAATATTTGGAACGCAACCTGGAATTTTCGTTCTTGGTAGCTAACTTACAGAGGGTTATTTTCGAACATCTGTCATGGGAAACTCCTATTGTTTTTGGTAAGTAAAATTAGGAAATATAGGCTTAGGATTCAAAAAATTGTCAAGTTTCGCAAAAACTATCGTCCAACTCAATATAATGTTGTTCGAACTGTATCGGCTCATTGCTAGATGTTTTGAAATCACTTGGGAACAAATGAATTTGGTCAACACATCGTCTACGGTTTTTCGATGTCAGAAACTGAGTGTGTTGACTACTGGTCGTGTTTCTGCTTTTAGAGGGAAAATTCGTATTCTAGCATTGAAGCTATGTCGATCAAAGCTCCGTTATCTGTTCTTTTCTCTGCAGGTGACTAGTCAAAGTGGTCTATCCTCCGGTCAGTACAATCTTTCTGGAACTCGCTGGAATGCGGTGTTCTCGTCTCTCCAGCCGCTGATCTCATCTCTGCCTAGAAGTGCACAGTATTGCGGTGATTGTGGTCATGTTTACTCTCCGCTTGAGGTAGCATTTGTATACATTCTTTTCTTTTCTTTTTTCCTGTTTTCTATCCAATTATCAATTCCGGTGTTTGATTTATTAATACAGCCAAATATGGAGTGGTTGATGATAATATAATTACAGCTGAATTGGCACCTCTTTTCATTATCGCTGCAAAAATACGCTTTTTAGCTTGGCATAGTACTTTGTGAGGTTTTTTGAGTTTTTCTGACAGTCTTCGGCGGTGCAGTCGCAGCGGCTGCTACCGCAAATATGTGAAAAAGAAACAACCCCAAGAATATGATACTAAGAATTGCATGGTAAAGTGATTTTGATACATTTTAACTATTCATCAGATGGCTCGACGTCATGTTCTATCGCACATTCGACTCGTACGCTTTGTGTGCAAACTATGCGGTGCTGGTGGATTCTTCGCAACTGATCTTCAAGCGCATTTGATGAAGGGTCATTGTGCGTATTTCCAACGAACGGAGGCCGGTCTGCCTCCTAGAAATGCTGCGCAGGTAGTGCATATAGTTATTCAGACTTATGCGCCTTTTATACTGTCCAGTATCTCCGGCAATTCTTTTAATCTCTCAGCTTTATCTTTACCTAAATCCAAATATAATTTCTTGATAAAATTGTTTTTTATGTACACATCAACGACATAAAACCACACTTTTGGTGCTACCATTTCTGTTTTTATTAAAGCTTTTTGCACCTCTCAGGCATTGCAGACTTTCAAATGTTAGCAGTTCGTGCCTTTCATATGATAACAGGCAATGTTATAGTGCAAATATTCGACTTAATGGTGCCATATCATAACTGGTTGAGACTGCGCGTTAGGTCTTCTTACTTGGAATTTTGTTCTTTACCCATGGATTATGAAGTAGCGAATTTGTAGAACCGCTCATTGCACTGCATTAAGCCTTGGTCTGTTTACGATGCTTGATGCATGAATTAGTCGAAGTCAAGTGAGCGATCGCTTTCCGAGATTTCGCGTCCGAAATCAGAAATCCATTGCTACAAATTATAGGGTGCAGCGCATACGGTTGAAGAGCATGATTTGAAAATAGGAATTTGCCACTGCGAGTTTATAACACGCTCGTTGAACTTGCGCCGTGAGAGCCATGTTAATGGACTGCGGTACTCAAACCATATTGAGCGAATTATATTACCTATTTTCTATAGCAGTGAAAGTAGCGATGGACAAATGCACAAATAAAGCTATAGTACGCGCACAACGTCCTGCTTTGAGGTAGAAGCCGTACCACATTTTCAATGTTTTTAGCGTAGCTCCCTATGTATTCACAGAGTATAACTCTCAAGGAGGATAAAGTCAACTGCAGAAATCGCGTGAAAGAATCTGCCGGGCGCGTGCCGAGCGTGCGGCTGTCTGGGTGGCTTGCGTGCTACGCTTATAATCATGGCGGTTCGGGCAGCTGCGCGCCAGCGACTCTCGCCCGCGTTTCGTTCATGGTGTATTGGGCGATTTCGTGCAGTCGGCTTTACCAAGTCGCATTGGCAGATCGAGACGAAATCAACAAGAATCCTCATTAGCTGATTTCTCTTTCCGCTCTGCAGATACGATTCGCCGCATATGAGCGCTTATAAGGCTTAGGGACCCGTCATACTTCGCCGAAAAAAGCCCAAAGAAGCCCGAAAAAGCTCAAAAAAGCCCAAAGAAGCCCGAAAAAGCCCAAAAAAGCCTAAGAAAGCCCAAAAAAGCCCAAGAAAGCCCGAAAAAGCCCAAAAGCGCCAGAGAGAGCCGGAACACTTCTCGCACGTTTTGGCGCTAAGGCATGTGTGTTGACTTCGCAATCGAGCCTTTTTGTCATTTTCTGTCGTCCGCATGATAAGATAACGTCAGAATTATACCAAATGTTCGTTTCTACATTCCGGCTCTTTCTGGCGCTTTCGGGCTTTTTTGGGCTTTTTCGGGCTTTTTGGGCTTTTTCGGGCTTTTTTGAGCTTTTCGGGCTTTTTTGGGCTTTTTCGGGCTTTTTTGGGTGCTTTTGGGCTTTTTTCGGCGAAGTATGACGGATCCCTTAAACTGAACGAAAGACGTGCTTTGGTGCACCTTTTTTGTTGTAGTTTTACTCATTATTAATATAAGCGCTTTTGAGCTGACCAGTGCTGGTTCCTTGGGTATAAAAACGAACAACTCTCAGGTGCCGCCTCCACTGGTTGTTGGTCCTTTCGTCCTACTGTTGTGCACGTGTTAAGACCAGTAGTGCCTAATTGATGTTCGTGGGTATGGGAACGAAGGCTGCCAATTTGAGCCTCCTTTTGCGGCTAAGGCAGGCGCCATACTTGATCCGCTTGATCCGCTTGATCCACTTCATCCACTTCACTATTGGTTAGTTCACTGAATCGACCAATGATGAAGCGGATCAAGCGGATCAAGTGGATCAAGCGGATCTAGTATGGCGCATGCCTAAGTGGTACTTTTGCAGTGTTGTTGCATGTCGTTCCGGGACCAGTAGTCCGCGGAGGCGCCAAACCGGCGGTTTTCGTTCCCCCACCCGATGTTCGTTCTTCTACCCTAGTTCATTGGACCATGATATCTATCCCACAGATTGCTCATAATTTTGTTCATAAAGTCGTCTTGCAGTGGTATTGGAAAAAGCGAATTTGTCAGCAATTGAAAGCGTTTTTTGGTTACATGGATCTCTTTCTATTTGCCGGCGACTTACTCTTGTATTGATGAAGTTCTTTTTATTGCAGGCCGAATCATTGTGTGAATACGCGAATGCTGACAATCCTGGGGAGGTTGTGCTGTTAGAGGGAGAAGTATGTGTCAACGTTTACCATTTGAATCGTATAATATTGTAGGGTATTTCAGTCGCGAATGGTGTCGTCTGCAAACACATTTGCACACAAGCCTGATGAGGAGATTGAACGAAGGATCCTTGCTCGTTGTGTTTGAATTGTTTTAACGGTATCTTCTTATTTGTTCTTGTACACAGTATGCCAAGCTCAAATTTTTAACCTCTGTTGTCGCTAGCTAATCTCAGCACTTATCTCTATCGACCTGAGAAGTTTGAAGTGATTAATCTTTTCTAATTGTATAGTAACCTCTTTTTCATTTCATCATATTATATGCATGTTAGGCCTGAGATTTTGTTTTGTATGATAATCAGATGAAATTTATGAAGCTGTATGAACTTTGTAACAGTCATAGCTGTCCTCTAGCTTCGTGAGAATGGGAAGCCCGTTTCAGAACAAAATCAAAGCGCCAGAAATTGTTCGTAGTCGATGTTTCAGTAGCAGACAAATTGATGGAAATGAGAGGGTTCACATGACAGGTTGACAAAAATCCCCCCTCCCCTCCCACTTTGAACAAAAAGCATGACATTCTTGGTTGTAGGACACTGGTCTCGCGGTATGTGGAACGGTTCAGCTCGCTCATGATTTTTAGATTAGAGGCCTTTCCATTAAGTAGTTTTTTTCTGTTTCTGCGAAATGTGGTAGGGTAGTTGAGTGGATAGAACGTTAGATTTGAACCCAAATGAAAAATGGTTCGGATTCCAGCACAGCACCTAGTTTTGGAGTTGCCGGGCGTACCGTAGTTTCGTGGCGATCGGGGGAGTGGGGAGAGGGGGTCTGTGGATGGCAGAGTGGCTGGGGCGGTGGACTGATGGGTGGACGTACCCTGGGTCGAGTCCCGTGGGGGAGTGTGTTTGGTTCGTGCTGTGTGGGATTCAGTTGGGGATTGATGCCATGGGGCGTGCAGGGCGTTCTTTGGTTATGGCGCTTTGTGTGGGGGAGGCGGTTTGCGTTTTTTTCCGGGGTCTTGTTCGGGGATCACGGTGTCCCTGTTTTGGCTTGTTCTTACCTCCTGCTTTCCTGGCCCCTCTGCTCCGGGCTGGCTTCGCTCTTCTTGTTCCTCCCTTCCCCTGCCCTCCGGCCTTTTGCTTGCCCTCGGTTGGCCTGCCTGCCCGCCGCTGCCCCTTGCCTTCTGGGCCTTCGCCCCCCTGTTGGGTCGCTGCTCGCACCTGCGCTCCCTATAGTCGCTTACATTTCGACCAAGTGACACACTTTCTTGTTGCGTATCTCACACGTCTGGTTTTTCGTTGCAAATAATGGGAAATTTTTTTTCAATTCTGCAAATATTTATAACGAGATATATTGCTTAGTGGACAAAACTCCGCTGCAAATCACTCTTCACCCACTGAGAGTTGAACTTCGCATTTGGGGTATCTCAAGCGAAGAATCTACCACTGCGCCACCCATCACATAGATAAATGTTATGGGAACAGCCACACCAATCCAAAGGCAACTCATTTTGTGTTAATAATATTTTTCTTTGGTTTAGTTACCCAAGTTTGAGGTACCTATCTGTTATATACGTTAGATGTTTAGTTTTTCGCTAGCAGAACATGTTGCCTCTATGCCGCTGACGGGATAAAATTTCCGCTGGCAAGCCCTTGCCCATGTGGTGGTTTGAACCATCTACCTCCACCACGAAGACATCGCCTCCTGCAATTGCGTCATCCGAGCATTTAGGTTTTCAATAGATCAGCAGCTTAGTCAACAAACCGCCAGCAGTGAATATGTCGTTTTCAAAAGCTGGATAACACAAGCTCATTTAAAAGTGACGCATTTTCAGATCCAGATAAGAATGAAAAGCAGTTTTTAGACTGACTGGAAACTCTGGATGAACGAATTTTCTTTTTTTCTACTTTTTTGCCTGAAATGATTGTATCGCGAGAGCTTTCCGCATCAGCTAAACTAATCGCTTCTTTTTTTGTTGTTGTCAGTAAGGTTGTAGTATAATTATTGGAGAAATGAAGAGTTTCCATGCTGACTTCTCTCATATTCGTGCTTGTTTTACTTTAACAAGTTAGCTTTAAGGTGCGAACAATACGAATTCAAGGACGGTTGTATTGTTCTCTCACAACGAAATTTTTCTAAAGATTTCGCACAGTTTTAAAGGTATCTAGCTCGGGACAATATGCTGTGCACATCCAGCGAGCGCAGAGTTGTGATTTCTCTAATTTTCTCTAACCATTTGGACAGAAGCATACACCTGCACAGGTTCCTTGAATTTTTTTTTTTTGCAATTCAAAGGCCTTACTAGTCAAAGAACATATAGCCTCGAGTAAGTGCATAGTCTTACAAATAGCAAGTCAGAGAGAACGTTGGTGCAAATAAAGGCAGCATTCGGGGAAAGTGGGTGGATTGGGAAACGGTGAAATTCTATGGCATTACTAAAAGCCAGGAAAGTGCGTCTACGAGCCTAAATTTATTGTTGCAGACCCGTCTTCAAATCCAGCCCCGCCCAACCATCAAATTCGACAAGCTAAAGTGCACATACATATTACACAAAGTTATGACTATAGGTTCCATAAGAACTTGCGTCTCTAACGCAAGCTCTTATGGAACCAAAGCTGAGTCCTGGAATCAGCAGGAATAAGCAGGTAAGCAGGCAAGCAAGGAATCCCTAAACTGAGATTTTGCGGGGACATCGTTTTTGAACTAGATGGATTGGGCATGTCCCTTTTGCACTGCTACGACTTGCTACCGTAACCCGCGCCCTGCTACGGTGCTTCACGTGTGCAATGTAAAAAAAATACCGTATTTTTACTGTGATCTGATGACCCGAACACTGTCGAATGAGTTAATTCACATCATAAACCATTTATTACAGTATAATATGAAAAAAAAAAAGGCACTGTAGGTAGCAAGAATTGGAAATACAAAACGTTTCTGTCCATATAGCTATGTTCGGCTCTGATCACAACAGAAATCTTGTTGATTTGGTCATTATCGAACTTACAATCTAAAATAATAATAACACCCTTTGTAGCAATATAAACACATGGAAATCTGAAAGGTAAATGACATATGAAGTGATGTTCTGCATAGAATAATGCATACAATAGAGAACTATGTACCTATAGAGAGAGAATCACTGTTTGTGTACACGTAACTGTGATTGTGCAATTGCACTGCACATAACAACACCCCGCAATGCGTTAGGTCAACTTGGAGAACACTCGAACATGACTAGATTAGGGTTAGAAGTGAGGATAACGGATAATGATCAGGGCAGTAACTGGTTACTATCGGCCAATGTTTTGATTACTGGCTGATGCTGCTAGTGGTGTTTCGGTTTCGTGACGGCATTCCGATTTTAAGCGAACGAATTCACGAGCGACCTGGAAAAGAGAATTTTTTTTTTGAAGAAAACTTTTTTTTTCACTTCAGCATTACTCCAGATTTAGTCTGTGTAGGAGTACTGGCTTTTTTGGATATTTCATAGCATTGATTTAGCTTGTTTTTATTTAAGATGGAAGGATTCCGCCACTAGGCGACATCTCGGACTACTGGTCCTTTCGTACATGATATTTACATGATATTGCATACCGCTGGGATCAATAGACCGCATAGCCCCTAATGGCAAATTTTTTCAAACCATTATTTGGTGATGAAATGCGTAAATTCTTAGCGAAATCAATGAAAGGAAAGTAATGTCAGCAGACAACCTATTTCTCATAATTAGTAGCTTCGCTAAGAATTTTGATACACTTGTAAAGAAAAAGTGTTGCCACTAGGCGCCGCTTCCGCGGACTACTAACCCTTTCGCACAGGCCACTACATGCCTTATGAGGAGCAGAAGTCCGCCGGTGGATTAGTATTCTCATACAATTTCATTATCTCCATTTTTGCCATTGAAAAGTAATTAGCGATTCCAAACAAATAGGAGATTAGAAATAATTCAAGTACCAATCTAAATCTGCACAATGTTGGCGGAAACGCAAATGATATGCGATAACCTAGACTGTCAGAATTTCAAATGTTCCTAGGAACAATGTCTTGCATGCGCGTAATTCAGTTAGTGCATTATTTAGCTGATGATTTGATATTTTCTTGCCTATGCGTAACTGGGGACATATTATTCAACTTATGTTAGTTTGCAGTGAAGAATTTCAAACTGAATTTTGCTGATTCAAGAAAAATTTTGGAGAAAAACTAATTGAGAATAATTAGGATCTTACCTCATCAGTTTGCCTTTGACTCAAAATCCTCAACAATATCAAACCAGTCTCGTCAATATGCAAGCGTTGACCAAGTTGTACCCACATAGCACATGACCCTAAAAAACCAACACTAATATATAGCCAAAAATTTTCTCGGAGATAACTACCTTGTTCAACAACATTCGCAAGTTGAAGCACTCCAACGCCAACAATACGATCTTCTCGTGCAAAGCAATAATCTTTCACTTGGAACATCAACTCGTAGTGTTCTGGCTCTCCTTCGTTGCCGAGGAAGCTGAAAAAAATATGTTTGACATAGCGCTAACATAAATTTGGAAAATCAACCAGATTTTCAGGCTATGGAAAAATCTACAGATCGGGAAAAACTCAAAATCAACTCACAAATGGAACGTTTCATTGAACTTTGGTGCCCAGTTGCCTGGCTTGCTCTTCGTTGCCATCTTTCGTTTCTTATCGGATAGATGTGGACCGACCAGATGCACTTCAACGAACGGTTTGAAGACAGACGAAGTTTGCCATCGCAGGTCATTCGCCGCAAGAACTGGAATAAATACATTGGAGACTGTCGTCTATATGTAAACGGTACTGAAATGGGCCTTTTGGCACTAAGCATGTGACACCGTAGTCTTGCGCGCATTTCTAAAGTAGTTCTTCCAGGGCAACTTTGCGTTGTCTTTTACGTTACTCTATTAGGAAATGAGTGTTGGTTAAGTGCGTCTTCAAGGATGTCAGTCAGGCAATCAATTTCTCCGCGCAGCGGTAGCATACTGTAGCGGCACAAAACGGGCCATCTCAAAAGTCTGACAAGCATGTGCTACCGTAACCACCCGCGCGTTTCGAAAGCAATGGTATTTTGGTGCAAGACTTTGTCTGTCATCTTTTGCATTGGTCTTTTGGGTAAAAATGTGTTAGTTGGTGCGCTCGTAGTCGTAACGAGTTTACGCTAGCATACTGTAACGGCGCAAAAATGGCTATCTCCTCTAAAAACTCACTTTTGACGGTGACTTTCTGCTCCCCGGTGCCAGGATGGCTGAACAGATCCACTTGCACGCTAACCTCTCCGACAGGCTGTTCTTGAGATGGCAAATCTGCAGAAGGTATTCACTAGCACTGAGTTTCTCCCCAAGGCAAAAAGTACTCACCTTGCTGCTTTTGGCTGGTTATGAACGTCTTGATAAGTTGTTCTGTCGTCTGCGTGTACAAGCTTAGCGCATACTTCAAAGATTGTAACTCGGGACTCTTCTCGAAGAACGACTTCTTCAAGCCTTGCCCACCAGCATGGAAGCATTCTAAAAAAAGTATTTAGTGTAAAAAAGCAAAAAAGCGACTAAAACGCGATTTTCTCACCTTTGATTGCATCAAGGGCTGCATCCAATACTGTGCATTGCTTCGGCGTCAATGATCGTTCACATTCTCGAGCCATGTCCTAGAAACCAAATTTATTCAGTGCACTCAAATTTGCAGAAAAAAAATGCGGGAAAATTGCTTACCATCATCTCTTTAACGGAGCTCATTCCTTTGATATTTTGTATGTTGGTGGACATTAATTTCGTGACATCTTGAATCTTGGCGTTGGGCAGTTGCTTGAGTAACTAAAATGCAATTTATAATTTTCATTTACATCATTCTTGTCTTAATTTTTAAATCAATTTTCGATAAAGAACTTACAGTCTTGTCAGCCAACGGAGGTAAAACAACCATTTTCTCCATGTCGACGATCGTTATTCGCCAGAGCTCCTAAAAAAGATTTGACATTCATCCACAGAATGCCTGAGAAAAGCGGATGATCAAAGAATTGAGTTTTACCTTTAGGATATACTTGAGCACAGTCTTTTCACATTGTTGGAAGTATCGCTGCAATGAGCCTTCGAGCAAATCCATCAACGGTTCCAATACGATGTCTACTTCCTGAAAAGGCAAGATAAGTATGTGAACAGAAAAGGCGGATTACGCTTAGAAAAATGGAGTAATCTGAGGAAGAAAAGGAGTTCGAAAGCGGTTTCTGGCATTGAATCTAACCAATCTCAATACAAAACCTTGCATTTCTTGCTAGTTTCCGTTGTGAGAATGCAAGGCCACATTTTGCCAAATTTTTTTTCAATGAAGTTTTTTCGATGCAAAATTTACTGTTTTCGTGATTGTCTTGTTTCTCCCCATCCGCCCATCTTTTGCTTTCTATCCTTTGTAAAAATATATTCTAACATAATGACACCTACCGCTGCCACCTGGGTCTTCTGCAATTGCGGTCCTTTGATCTTAGTCAACAACGCTCCGAGTTTGTTCGTTTGTTCTTGGATCATCGGTTCAAGGGTGGTAACAAACTAAACACAAACAGTATAAGAACCATATGCACCTGGCCCATTATGCCAAAAACGTTTTTTTCAACACTTACCTGGCCAGAAAGTTTATCCAAGACGCTGTTCAGCTTCTTCTGTAGGTTCGTCAGTACTTGACTGCAAGTTGGATCAAGTTCTGAGCCACCCATTGTCTCATAGATCTTTTCTAGTTGAACCCTGCAAGGACATTTTATTGAGCCTCAGATACAAGAGAAACATCGCAAAAGAGGCATACCTGAGTTGTTGCACATTATTCATAAGGATGCATGCAAGCTTCTCATTTGATGAAAATTTCGGGAAGTCCTTATGAACCATGTCAGCATAGGCTAACAGGACCTGCAAAAATACATACACTTCCATTTTGAAAAATTTCTTTTAAAAAATTGCCACACTAGAATCAAAAAATTTTCTGACAAATTCACTCCGCTAGAATCAATTCGATCAAATTTATTCATGCACGGTTCCGTGCTTGATACGTGAGTCAGCTGCTACTTATTTGAAGAAATTTTTTGTGTTCCTTCGAAGGCAATGCCCATCCGAGTACCTGGCCTTATCAAATGGGATATGATTGGGAAATTCTAACAAAGCCATCATCAAAGTCGCAACTGCTATGATTCTCTTGTGGTCGATAAAATAAACTCTGAACCTTCGCCCACACCGTACTCTTTTCGAGTGAAGTTCTAGCGTACGATACTGGCGACAGTTTGGAGCCGACTTCCTCGGCCACGAACGAGTCATATGAGGAGAGAATCTCAATCACCTCCCTTGATTCAGATGCCCAGATTTGTCTGGGCGCTGCCTCAAAAATTTTGAAAACTATTGGCAACATCCTTACCTTGTTCAAAGTCTTGCTGAATCTCTTCATCATATCCGCATAGACAACAGGATTGGGGCAGTCCATCTGTAACACACGAAATCAGTTCAACGGTCACTCATGGTTACGCAAAAAATCCTACTTGTTTGAGCAATTTAAGAGCCTCATTGAGCTGTGTGAACACATCGACAACGCTGTTTGAAAATCGCGTATGATCGGATGTTTGTGGGAAGTTGTCCGCCTTGTCCCTAAAACAAATTGATTATATTAGAGAAGAAAAAATGGTAGAAGGAGGAGGTTCGCAAAAAAGTTAAATGTTTGATAAAAGTACAAACCTATTGTAGGCGTTCCTCAGGATATCCATCGAGTGCTCATCGTTCTCGTTCAACCAGTCCATGACAAATGGGATAAACCACCTGGAACATAATCTAACATTACTGAAAACATATTATCGTTCCTACAAGGGAAATAGATAGCCGTAGGATGTTTAGTATGGATGGTATTTTTTGCCACGCATACTGTAAGCTACCGTAATCCCACAAGGGACAAGAGAAACCGCGCCATTATAATGAGATACAGAGATATGGTAAGCGGTGAGAAAACAGTAAAGGAATCCCCTTTTTATGAATGCTGCCACAATGCGGCACTTATCTTGCTTCTCATCTTGGAGTCACTTTATGTTGTAGCATACGATGATTGTGCAAAAGGACCGTTTTTGTACTACAAGAGTTTTTATATCTCTTTCTACCGATGGATTCAAACTGTATCAACCTTTTCACAATGATTTCGCAAATGAATTCTCGTACTGCACAGATATCGTTTGATCATACTATAATTGTGCAAAAGGACCGTTCTTATCCTACACGAGCTCTTCTACACCCCCTAATTGGCGAATTTTCAAACGCAAAAAATGTTGCGCTGCGTCAACTACACATACACCCCATAGAAGTTGCATTTTGTCTAAGCTTACTGTAGTGGTGCAGAAAGGCCATTTCACCCATATAAAATGCAAAATTGGCTCATTTCGGACAGATGCTGCATACAAAAATTCTATAAAAAAACTACTAGTTAGAAGCTTTTCAAAAAAGGTTTTGCAAAACATTTCAGGACATCGACATGATTTCTTTATTCAAAGCTAGTTACGGCAGAGGGAATGAGGTAATCGGCTGGTAAAGGCATTCACTACCCCTTTATCCAAAGCTAGTTACGTAGTTAATTGAATGTATACTCAACAAACGTAAACAACTCGAAAACAAAAACACAATCAGGGTTGCATCTGCAGCTTATCCTGAGTCATTTAGGTGTATTCTATTTCGAGAACGCTACTAACGATAAGATGTGTGGGAAGGTAGAGATAAGCAGGCTAAGCCAAGCAGAGGGAATGAGGTAATCGGCTGGTAAAGGCGTCATCAACGAAAGCGCCTATTATGAAGGCAATATGAGTTCTGCAGGAGAAGCCATTAACTTTGGAAAAAGTTTCATAAGAAATTGAAGACTTATTTTTATAAGAGGGAGACTGCAAAGTTTCCACTTTCGAAAGAAGTTCCATTCATTATTCATTATATGGGTCGTAAAAAATGTTATCAAAAATAATGGATATAATGACTATAATAAGTTGAGCAGCTTGAAAATATCTAAGCGGTAGGAGTGCAAGATAATGAAACCTAGTGAAAAAAAGCAAAACTCGAAAAAAATTAAGATAAATTTCAAACTCACGCTGGAAATTCTGGTATCGATTGTTTATACTGGGGTAACTCGGACACATACTTAAAGTAGAATCCTTTCACTTTGAAGTACAAATTCATGTACTCTGGCGTCGGACATTTCTTTGTTGTCGCATGCTCTAAAAAATAAGACCGCTTAATTTCGAAAATAAAACAATGAAAAATCAAGATTTCTCACCTTCCAACGCCATTTTCAAATCCATTTTATATAGTGTCCATAGCGTTCCGGCCGATAAATTGCCAACATTGAGCTCTTGTGGGAATTGATTGAGACTTGGCCCATATACAGTCCGATCGTCTTCGATTACGCGCATCATGTAGTCAAGGAAGTCGAACCTAGAAGAGGGGGGGGGGGGGAAATTACAAGCAAGTGATCTTATCAAAGTTTTTAAAACTTACCAAAATCGGACGGATTCCGACGAAGGTGCACCTTGTTCACAGCACGAGTCGAACAACAATTGGTATGTGGACTAGAAACTCTCGCATAATTTTTTGAATAATACTATGGCACTTTTGTACATATGTTACCGTATACTACCGTAATCCAGTGAAAATTTGGCTGAATGACAGCGCTATAATTTACGGTTTTTTTCTTGAACAAATTCAGAAAAATATTTGATTGCTGGCCACGGCAAACTAGAACTTTTGCCATTACAGGCCGCGCAAAATTACGATGGCATACTGTAGCTGTGCAAAAGAGACCGTTCCAATTTACTAACTATGCATTTCATCTTTTGATAATTTTCCTTCACTTTCTTCAACCTATTTGAAGATTTTCTACCCTGCCTAATACCTTTTGCTTGCAAATAACATCAGTCTAGTAAAGCACTAAATCCCATGTACTTGAACAGACGATCCAATCTGATAATAGTAAATGACTCAGATTTTTACGGGCTCATCTCCCAGATCAGTACAGATTCAGCGAAGTATTTACAACTGCACAGACACTAATGTGGTTGAAAGCTTTGAGAGCAAATATTACAGAGTGGCAATTCGAAAAGTGGTGTTTGTCAATGTAGAAAAGTGATTATACGGCTTGTGAGAGATGTTTGGAATCTATGATCGAGAAAAGTCGCAGCTAATATTGCGATTGCACACGAGGTGCGTTTTGGACGTGAAATTTAGATTTTGTTGGGCCCTAGAGTGCAAAATTCTTAAGCAAAACTTTATGTTTTCTTTCGCTATGCAGTACATAGTAAATGTGAAAACTTTTGTTTCTTTTTCCAAAAAAATCCGCAATCCCACGCCAATTACAGACTGCAAACTTATGACAATTTACAACTCTATGTATAAGTATGTTTGAAATTCCTTCAAAACTGATGATAAACGCTTTCCTTATTTTTTAATGCAACTTTGATCCATTATCCTCGATAGAAACTTCTACTTCTCAGTAAACGCTAGCTAGCTTAGCTGATTATTTACACAGGTTTCACGTGAGCTCAGCAAGTTCTCAGCGCGATCATCTTGTGAGAAGAGATTAGCCCGTAACATAGATTCATTAAGCTAATTTAGGCAAAATCAACATTAACACACACCTGCATGCATGCCTTGGCACATTCCGAGACGACATTGGAAGCTCGAGGTGGACTGGCGAGTTCCAGTACTTTCATCCGGAAGAACGTGATGGAAGTGAGCAAATCGACTGTGGATTTAAGATCTTGGAGTTTTGCCGGTGAAGAAGAGGGAAAATATTTCTGAAATGCACATATTTGAGAAGGCATGATGTAGGAGTTTCGAAAAAAATATTCTCATGAGACTTAATGAGTCCAGACAAATCTGAAAACCTGATTTCTTATGTGGAAACTAACTGGAGACATTAGCCAAGCCACCAGTCCAAGCGGCAGCTCACATGATTCATTCGCGAGCGAAAACTTCAGCTCTGAACTCTCGCCCAATCTACCGTACTCTGACCAACCATTACCCATAAGTACGATACCGGGCAAGAGTTTAGAGTTGAACTTCTCAGCCACGAATGAATCATATGTACTTCCTCTTGGGCAAAACCTCACTCAAGTCTTCATAGACTTTTCGATATAAGAAAATCAGGGTCCAGGTTAGCCTGGGCACAAGTCCCAAAAACAAAAAATCAGACATAAATGGGTAATCAACAGGATACGTAGAAATTTTACACTATACAAATGTTTCTCTCGACATGTCGTTACTTCGTCAAATCAACAAAGCCTTATTCTCAGATCTATCATGTGAGAAGCTAAGACCGTGGGAATAACAGATCAGGATATTCTCAAGCACTACATGGATCTACGAATCTATTTGATGAAAGTATCAAAATATTATGATTACTAAACAGATACAGATTTACGATTCAGGTTTCGTAGACCAAACAGTTTGAAATTTTTCCAAAAAATTCAGCAAGACCTCCAGCTTTAGATTGAAAAAAAAGGGAATATAAAAACTGGCACCTACCAATTTCAATCTGTGGTTCAGTTTATGCAAAAGATAACGCATAATTGTTAACAACATATGGCTATCCGTACTATAAAAGGTTAGTGAGCAATGAATGACTAGCGCTTAGCGTCAATATTGCTGACGTAAGTTCATCAGAACGGGAAATACAATTATAATAACTTTTACGGCACTTATGCTACGAATGAATGAGGTATGTACTCGTTTAAGAATAGTTCAAGCAAAAATTCCTTTTTTTCAATTGGAAACCTCAGAAAATCACAAAATTCAAAAAGGCTCAGTTCAAAGATGACATCCTGACGAAAACTATAGGATCTAAGCAAAACAGATCCTTGATGCTTTGATGATATTTCCCCATACGGTAAAAGGCTTATACCTAGCTTAGAAATTGCTCAAAGTGCAAATTATTAGGAAAATCTGAACTGCTAAGAGTTCGTCTAGACGATGCCCGACTCAAAGTCGATGCAGAGCACACGAATTTCCAAGTAGAGGCTTCATAGCAACGCTTCTTAGCATTCGTCAATGAAGCGTAGGACTTTGTAATATGAGAACGCCGTGAAAAACGTCAAGTGTTAATTGCGAAGTCATGTGCGCAAATATGCGCAGTTGATGACATAAAAAGCTCAAATTTAGCTTTTTATGAGGTAAAAATGACGCAAGGTTCTGGAAAGCTGCTGGCTATTCGGAGCTGTCAAAACGAGTACAAGTTTAGTGCAAAAATGGCAAGCCGACGAATGATTTGAATTCTAGATTCTTTGGTCTGAATACGGAAACAAAATGGGGCCTGGAAACGGCGAAGGCTTGCACAAGCCGCTTGAAATCTGCAAAGCCGGGATTTCGCATCGCATAGCTAATCCAGGTAATATTTCAAATGTAAATGATTTTCACGGACAGCATGGGATTTGCCGATTGCAAAGAGAATTCAGAGAAAATTAATTCGTGAAAAGATGTATACGAACACAGGGGTACATATTTTGCCTCCCTATTTCTTTGATAGAAGGGAATGATGTCACTTTTCCAAGTAGATCCATATATTCGTTGCCCGTGATGCGCTGATGTGCATGCAACTTAACTTACAGTTTAGGGTGCCACATTGGAACCAGAACCAATGCGGCACACGCCAGACCGCACGCATATCGACATATTGTAGGCAATAAGATATTGGCTGCCCAACGCAACATTTTTTCAGATAACCACAAGGAAAGCAGAAAGCGATTAAAAAAAAGAAATTTTGAAAATGATTCGGTAGCTCGAAAAATCCAAAATTTGAATGATATGGTATGTTTGAGAGATTTTGGAAGTGCAGTTTTTGCTAGTCAAAAAATCAGGAAATACAAATCGTAGTAGGATAAAAAATCAGATGAAAAATTTCGAGAAAATTCAAAGATGCCACAGCTCACAAATTCTAAAATTCAAAATTTTAAGAGCAACTGTAAAGATTTGGCCTGACCGATCTTTCACCGTTTAAAAAGGGTTTTTGCGAACGCGTGTTCGGATTTTCGAACTGTTTTATAAATGCGCGTTAACTAGGCACATCCTGTTACGGAATTTAGCCTTTACTGGTTAATCTGATAGTCGCGATAGGGCGGGAAAGGGATAGCTCAACGAGATAGCTAGCGCTGGGGAGCCCTCATGATCAACGTATCCTGGCAACTGACGAAGGATTAGAGTGTACATCCACGAACACAGAGCTGTATGTGTTATGCCGTGTAGTGGAAGACACTTTTAACATCAAAAGAGAACAATCTGGGCAAAGAATTTATTTATTCAAATTTTTTCCGAAGTACCATAAAGCGCTTTTGCACTTTTGGCTGTTTATGCCGAAGTACGCATGTGCGCAGGCGCACTTCAATAAAATGTATTTGACCTACAAATTTTGTTTCTGCTTTGGACGATCGCAACGATGCAACAAAAATTAGACTATTAGTTAATTATCGGTTACTTATTGTTAGAGCTAAAGCTTTACTGATAAGAAAAACACTAAAGCACCTTAGAATCTAATGCATAAAGAAGCATTTTATGTGTATAAGCGACATCGTTAACCGTTTTACTGACTTCTGCATAAGAACTCAACTTCCTGGTAGCAATCTTATTAGCATCTATAAAATTTCATTAACACCCTCACAATACTACAGTCGAGTAGATTTTCCGCTCAATATAGTGTGCTTGCACTGAAGGCGAAATGCGGTAAAATTTGCGCGTAAAGAAATAGTTACGCCTGTGATGCCAACATTTTGCGCGCGCAAATGGCCGGCGTCACAGGCGTAACTATTTCTTTACGCGCAAATTTTACCGCATTTCACCTGCACTGCAAGCACACTATAATAAGCGGAAAATCTACTCGACTGTAAACAAAATTTTGTACAATGTAATTTAGCATGCGCACAATCGTTCGAGTGACTCTACTACTGGACTGCAGAGTTGAAGGAGGGAAGTGGGAAGAAAGAGGGGGGGGGGGAGGAGGAGGGGGGAGGGATAAAACTTAACTATGGCACATGAATTGGTAGAGGAACACGACTGCATCCCATACTTCTAAGAAAAGATATTCAAGCCAAAAGTACCTATCCGATTTTCTCCCAAGAATTATTAGAGGTGCATTTACACGAAAGACTTCCGAAACTGTGCATGGAATTTATCAACGTTACTCACAGTAGAGAAATTCCTTCTCCCGCTAATTTCCTTGTTACAGTTCACGAAAACAGTTGTGGTAAGCTTAGTACGCGAATCCAAATTCATTTAAAATTATTTTTATCATAACCCTTTTACACCTATTAGAATAATGGTAAGCAAAACCTCAATTTCAATGTGTAGATACTTATTGTGTAATGCTGATTCATCGACGCAGACAACGCATAATCTACCGCCACCAACGTCGTATGCTACTATGTAGCTGTCTGCGTATCTTCTGTCCACATTATCTTTCTACTCTAAAAACAGCGACGCTCAGCGGAGGACGCAACTCAAGCATTGTCTGCGTCAATAACCTTTACAAACTATGGCATACCAAAACATTTTTGCATGTTATATACAAAAAAGATTGGCATTACATTGTGATATCATCAGACATTATTAGTGAATTACTGTGGATTAAGCGTCCCTTATAGCTTACAACATGCAATGACCAGTTATAGAAACAAAGATAAAAGGAGTAATTCAGCCAGGTAAACCGCTTCCTGGAGACTTTTTCACACTATAGGGTGGACAAATAAATGTAATTTTGTTACTGTAATCATACAGTTCATGTGCTAATTTCAGCAAAAAAAGCGTGTACACAAAGAGTAGCAAAAAATCAGATCGCATAAAGTGGATCGCATAAAGTGAGGCCCACAAAATCTATCTACAGCCGCTCTCAATTGTCGGTAGAAACCGGAAACGTTATCAGAATGGGAAGATTCTAAGCTGACAAAGCCGATAGAAGATGCTCAAGCAGACGTGGCCACATATCAAAGCTTGTAGAAACTAACAACTTCTCCTAAGTCAAGAGCTGCTTACTTTTTTGAAGGCTTATCGACTTAAGGTTGCATCAGCGGTAAGTGATAAGGCAGTTACGGTAGATTTCCAGATCCTATGACGGTCAATGCCAAGTTTATCCGCGAAGCCTCAGTCACCGAAGGAATACTCTTTTTCAGTTCGTTTGACGTCAGAGAGTTAGCCTTTGATGCTTCCAGACGATTCAAGTGAAATGGCGGTGTCGCAATTGCTATTTTTATTGAGATTAGGAAATTAAACCCTAGAAAAAACATAACGCTTGCGAAACTCAAGAGTCCATGAAAATTTGTTGTTTTGTAAAACTCAATATAAAGAAAATGCTTACTTTAGCGGGAAGAAAAGAATTCAGTGCGTGGAAGTCGGTGGTTAGATTATAAGCAGCGTAAAGTGCAAATCGAATATTAATATGTCTTGTGTAAATACTGACCGGGAGGCCTTAACTGAGCCATTGCTCCAGCGCCAGCGCAAATGATATATAAGTAACCGAAAAAATCAATCTTAAACTCTAGCCCAATACCGTAATTCCTGGAACGACGCCGCAAAGGTTGCCGTACTGGGCGAGAGCTCGGAGTTATATTTCTCGGCCACGAATGATTCACACGAGCTGCTGCCTTAGCAACGCTTTAGTTGAGCTCTCCCATCAGTTCCCAGATAAAAAGTCAAAATACCATATTCCTTTACCTACCCTTCATGTAGGCTGGGTTTGTCAGAAATAATCCAAAAAAATTTTGTGAAGTGAAATGAAGGGAAGCGAAGTGTCAAGACCACTCACCCTGTACATGCTGAGGTCTATTCGTAAGCTATTGTGCAGTTGATCGAGCAATTTTACGAATCGTTCTCTACCAAAATTTGAAGCAGCGAATCGGTCCGATGCTGATACGGCTGAAGTGGCCGTCGTATGTGCATAAAAGCTGAAACATTTATTTACACTTCATGGAAAAATGACAATAATCACACCAATAATCAACAAACTCCAGCTGATATTCTTTCATTACTATTGAAGTCGGCCATAGAAAAAGTTGGTGAGAATCTAGTACTTTCTTCTTCTTTCGAAAATTCAGTGGTACTACGGAATTAGTAGGCATGCGAGCAGATTGCGAGTATTGTTACTCAGAATAACTTGAGTAACACGGGAGACAATCCCGTTGTTGTCATGGAGAGCTTATCCGGGGAGTTTTGGGATCTTTATTACGTTGCAGTCGTAATTAAAAGTCCCATTGTTAGGAAATGTCGCAGCACAAACATCAAACAGCAAGTGTCTTGGTGAGTAAGGATGTGGAATTTACAATAAAGAACCCCCAAGTTATAAACATACATACAGTGCCTTGTGCAAACTAGTAGATAATTAAAATACCTTCTAAAGGTTTGAAAGATGCAAACTGGCCTTCTAAAATTTCGAAATTACGGGCCCGCAAAAATTTTGGGAAACATAAGAAGATTTTCGAGCGCACATGCCAGGCACCTTCACTGGAAAAAAAAACTTTTTTCGCCCTCTCCTTCCCCAAACGAAAGTCCTGGGACTGCCATTCAAAAATGAATATCAAATTACAGAATTGCTTCCAATTGATAAGAACATTAGATTTGATAAAATCTTAAAATCAATTTTTATGGTCCTCTCTCCCAAAATTTCCCGGAGTTGGCCTGAAAAAAATTGAGGCCACTTCTCTCACTGGAGAGAATTTCCATTGTTCCCTCACATCAAAGAAGAGCCTGTAGTCGTATTGATAAATCGCCTGTTGTAAAAGTTCTGTCGGGTCAAGAGTGAAGGGTGGAAAGCAGACCAAAAAAGGGTATGGCAAGGGGCGCAGAGATTGCCTACATCCTTTTCTATCTTCGTATTCATCAAAGGAAAATTTAAAAATTTCCTGTCTTTATAATCATCATTTTTGGTAAAAAAAAATTCTGGATTTTCGTTCGCGATGTTATTTACGAAAGAATGTAGAAGACTTTGGAAATAAAAAAATATAGAGCGACTTACGCATTGATATTGGCAAGTAGAGTCGACAATACGGCTGGAACACCGACACACATATACTTTGTACAAAGGCATGCGAAATGTGTCATAGCCTAAAGAAATTGTATCCGGCCTCATGAAAACTTCATAGCAAACAAACATTTCTTTACCTGATAGATACTTTCAATCCCATAGCGCATGGCAAACTCTTCAACAATTTCCTGGCCAACGTCATCGAAATAAACTTTCCAGCTATCTTCACCTTTTGCATCTGGCAGTTTCAACTCATCATTCTCTATGGACATCGCCTAAACACCCTCTGCGTCTATTACCGTACGCCCATAAGTCGTGTCGTGGTCCCACCTGGAAGAGATGTTCATGCAAGCAGGTGTACTGTACATGATAAGATGCCAGCTTTTCTTCTCCCTTGATTTCGACAGAGATGTGCAATCGAATCGCTCCAGACACAGCAGACTTGTCCGTTCGTTTTTCTGCAAAAGCCATAAATGATGTACACAGTGCTTGCAACATGCTTATCTCCATCACATTTTGCTTGCAAAAATGGGCTCATCTAGCAAATGTGAAGAAAAAAAGAAGATGAACTGCATTCTCTCCCACGCTTCTCAAAACTTTGCTCAAGGAACGCTTTTTTTCCGCAGAGTTCTTTGGAAGTTCTGCTAAGCACTATGCATTCGTGACAGTAACGAAGGGGAAGGGGGGCAAAGCTCTAATCAAGAATTTTTTGGAATCTAGTCCGTATAGCAAGTTGTTTTACTACTCTCAAAGACAGCGTAAAGGGCCGGGTATACTTTACGCGATTTTAGACGCGACGCGATTTGGCAATTCGCCAGAAGTCTTCGGATCCAACATTAGCAAACTGCACATGCATAGTGTGTATAACTTATGTAGACTGATGAAATGTTCTATCTTCTGTAAATTTATAATGTGCTTAGAATGAGTTTTGGACACCTGGAATATTGCCAAATCGCGTTGCGATTGAAATCGCTTGAAGTATGCCCGGCCCTTAAGGCAAACCTGGATAGATGGATTTGTTATATGGATACTAATCGGACAGATTTATTCAACCCACTGCCGAAGCGACAGCTCATATCTTATACGCTTAGCCGAAGAACTTCATTTCAAACTCTCGCCCACTACCGTACACAGACGGTCCGTCCGAAAGGATTACGGTAATGGGCGAGTTTACAATCGAATATGTTGGCCGCGAATGAATCTGACAAGCTCTAGATTTCATGGCTACCATTAATCTCGCTCAAACTTTTTTAAGGATGTAAAACGAGCTATAACCCTCGTATGAAGAAAAGTATTTGCTCCTCCATTTTTAAATGGAACTTTGCGACCCTCCCTGTCACTCACCTAAATTATACCATACGTCCATTTCTCCAGACAGCGTCCTAACTTCAATCACGGTTTGCCCCAAAAAGTCATCACTCTCTCGTGTCAATTTTTGCCTTAGCTTCGACTTCAGATCGTTGTCCTCATCCCATACACGTACTTTGATACGATCCGTAGAGTTGTGGCATTCGCTGAAATTGTGGGCCAATGTAAGGATTCTCGCTACAGAGAAGATTGGTATACTCACAAGTAGAACTTCTCATTCCATACAGGATTCAGTTCTTGGTGGATGGTTCGAGTTCGTCGTTTCACTTTACCAACCTGAAGAGATCATTAACTATAAGATTTGTTGGAATCATATTTTTTAGGGTGCATTCTTCGTTTCAAATCGGCACAAATGACGCTGTTCAAAAAAAACCACCTTTTTATTTCATTTTCGTTCCAATTATCTCTACTCACCAAAATTCATTGGAACTGGCATGAGTCTAGCAAGCAGCATTTATTTTTCAAAAGTCTTCCAACGAATCTCGTAGAGGAGAGGATTCCTCGGAAAGTAAAATCCAGCATTTTCATTTTTTCCATGTGGTTTTCACATTTTTGATCTCAAACTTTTTGATAAGAGGCGAAAGAAATTTGAAAGATCAAAAGTCAACAAACCAAAACTAAATCCAGGGAGATTACATTTTCTAGTTTGTGCTGATGATTAAGTGCAAAATAAGAAGCTTTCAAGAAGATCATAGAAGATCCTGATACCTTGAAGATGATCTCGCAATGTCCTATGACGTTTCAAAGCATTTTTGTACGAATTTGAGCTGACAAAGCATTTTTTCTATAAATCTGAGCTAAAATGCTTGCACTTTTGTGGAAAAAAGAGGGGGGGGGGGGTAGAGAAGAAAAGGTAAAAAAAATTAGGAAAGTTTGTTATTCACCTGTGCTGTCACATACGGATCACTCTTGCCAGTTTTATCCTTTGCAATCAATCCTTGCGCACAGATTACTGTAAGGAAATCAATCAATAATCTCCAAATCATAGGTATTGTAAGTTACAGTACTCACCCGTCAAAGTTATTTTCGCACTCCATTTACTGCTACCCTCAAGAATGCTGGTCTTCACTTGCTTCAGTGTCTCTTGTTGTGTTCGTTCATCAACACCGAAAACAGTGCTAAAAAAGAGAATCATTCGAGGGATACGGTACTCTTACTGTATTTGGCTCTACCGTATAGTTTCGAAAATTTCAGGCTTGTTCTTTTCTTGTATCTTCATTCGATCTCGAATCACTGCCACTAATGACTGTATTCGTTCTCCTTCACCATGCTTTGAGCTCTTCTCAGCCGCTCCTGCAAAAGTTCGGAACTTTTTTATTCTCAGTTGGAAAATTTTTGACTACGACTTACTCTGCAGACAATCGGCGCTGAGCAATTCTCGGCATTTCTCATGAACTTTGACCCCGCATTCTGTGCAGCGCAAACCTGCAAGATTTTTTTTTGTGAAAAAAACCAAAGAATTTGAACAATGACATTACCTTGTCTGGCCAGTCCCCATAACAATCCTTCACATTCATAGCACCAAGTAGGAGTTTGGAAATTGGTTGTTTGAAAATTATGTGGTGTAGTACAGCTGATCGGATAGATCAAAGCTTGTAGGCACTTTCGATACACGTGTTGCTTCTAAAAGAAAAAAATTCATAAGAAAAGATCAAATATTCTGATCAATACATACAATCGACAAATACACTGTGAAAACATATTTCCGGTTGTGGTAGACAACACTCTTCATAGTTTCTTCATTATTGAGTTGACAATTATGTTCTTCAGAGGGGAAAATTGTGATATTCATGGTATTTATAGTTGAAACTTTGATTTGGGACCAAAATCTATTTCTACGAGTCGTTCGACTTTCCAGCATTACAAATCAAATGGGCGGATAACGGTGACTGACTTACAGATTTTGAATTTTTTTGAACAGAATAATAGCTGATGGAAGCAAATGAGAAAATCGTCCTAGCTACATTGAAAGTTTTTGATAGTTTACTATTAGTGCACTACAATTCCGAGCGCTGGGGTACTCCCAAGTAAGATTTTTTCTTTCTCTTAGGGGACTTTTAGCTGCTGCACTGAAGTGCCGAGAAGCCATTTGCGTCTTACACAAATGATACATAAAATTATGGTTTAGTTTCGCCTACTGAAATGAGACACATATATTTGGAATCAGCTTGGAACGCTGATTCCAAATATGATGTTACTAGCTGCTTAATATTATTCTAAAGCGAGTTATGCTCTCTTTTCTATGCGAAATCTGCGTGCTCCTCAAGTTACGGATGTCACGGTGTCGACGTCTAGGTGGTTTTGTAATTGTATAATGCTCCCTTTCAAGATCGAAAGTATCAATCTGATGGTATTCAACATCCTAGCATTCTTTTCGAGTAGATTCTTATCTGTACGCCGTCTTACAACATTCAGAAGTTTGTTAATTACTCACAACGGCAAGCCCATAACTCGCTCCGGAAAACCGATAAGCAGTTACGAACAACATATTTGTAATCAGCGTTCCAAGCTGATTCCAATTATATGTGTCTCATCTAAAAAGGCGAATCTAAGTTAGTAGTTGAAACTTGTTGTTCCCTTGTTAGTTTTCTTGTTCCCAAAAGCATAACAAGTGATCACCAGTGGCCATTACACGCCTCATGTCATGTTCTCTACTCCTAGAAAATCAAACTTCTGGCTAGGTGCTTTCTTGAAATGGATCATCTTCCATAAGACCAGGAACTGGGATTCTTCATCTAATTACATGTGGGGGTTGCAGAGACTGAAACCTTACGTATGCTTATAAGCCACGCGTGGACAATATAACGTTCTGGCGAAGTTGCTGTGGAAAATGAGAAAATAAACCAAAGGGGTGCTAGTAAAGCAATAAAACAAAACAAATCTCTGACAAAATTGCAAAAATTATCAGTGACTGGTGAAACACTAGAAAAACAAAACAAATGCTTGTTCAATTGGTAGGGATTTACACTCCATATTTTCTTCCACTCCAAAAAAAACTTACGGTTTCAGCTGCGAAAATCTGAACAAGTTGTTAGTCCAGGAGCGATTTGAGTTTATAAGTAGCAACTGCTATCTGTGTGTTACGGAGTCATTGTAATAAAATCCAGTTTTTTTCAAATTTTCACATTATCCTTATTTACCCGAACTTCATGATAAAGCCAAACTCACCAATTCCTCATCTCCAAACGTAGTTTTTGCTGCATTTGCTAATCCAGCTTGAGCTCTCTTCGTGGCCATGGTCTAAAACAGAACCGCTTTCCTTCATTCATGACTATTTTTTATAAGCAAAGCATCTAGTGTTAGTTAGCTGAACAGCCTCGGGAACTCAAATAAATAAAAAGCTGTTGTTAGTTCATGCAGGTTCAAAAACCAAAAGCCTTCGCAAAAACTGAACCAAAATAAAAAAATAAAAATAATTAAGCTACTAATATCGCATAACCCTACAAACTATGCAGTACTCATTCATGCGAGTACCACAAGATGAAACACAAATGGCAGTCAAAAAAATAGCTTCTGCGATTTGTTTTCTGGATAGGATTTGAACAAATAAAGTGGAAAATATTGAGAAGCAACTCATCACTCAATTTTATTTTCAAGCAATTTAGCTCCAAAACCTCTCCAGAAAACCGGCAGAATTCAAGATCATGCTTTACCGTATAAAAAGTAGATCATCCTTACCCTCAGCACCTGGAAACACATACATAGTTACGAATAGAATATACATGCGATATTTCTTTACTCCTTACTTCCAAAGATACGGTATCTCTATAACTACTGTACATGGTACGCCTGACTGTTAAAAATATCTACTAGTTTAAAAATTTCTAATAGAAGCACAACGAAGTGACATGATCATATTGTTGGCTGGAAAAGGCTGAAATTTCTAGACCTGCCCCAAAAGTGGGCTCACAATTTTCCGAAAAGAATAATTCACAAGAAATCTGCATGCTATCTTCTCTCTCTCCCTTCCTTTTTCTCTCCTCTGCTGTCTTACTCTTTATCTTCCTCTTTCTCTCTCTATCCTTTTTTCTTCTCTGACTTTCAAAGACAAAAAATCGAAAATAGATTCTCTTCTTACCAATTCTGAGACGAGCGGAATGCCCGTCTTCGTTCGAGCCACATTCATATTCGGTGCCGCATCGATGCTTTTGTAGAAGGCATTCGCAGCCGCAGATCCATTTCCGTCCAAGACCGTCGACTGAACAAGCAAGATATGGAATTTTAGCAACATATCATGTACCATAAATACCGTGATTTTCTGGCTTTTTCTACAAATTTTTATGAAAAACTTTTTGATCTAGGTGAAAAGAAAATCTCACCAAAAACCTCCTGTCTCTGTCTTTGTACACATCCACCAGTTGCACTTTCGCACGCAGTGGTGGTAGATGCGGTAGATGGTGCGCAGCGGCTGCAGCTGCGGTTGCGATGACGGCTTTTTCCGCGTCGCCATGTACTAGCGAAACGCTGCGCTGACGTACGGGCATTTTGCCCGTGATACGTAGTTCCGGACATGATTTCGAGCGTTTAAACTTCGCACGCCGACGGCGGCGACGCCGCGGGACGGCAGTGCGTGCGCGCCGGACCTTCTTGAAGCTCTTCGAGAAGGCGAGCAACGCACGCGCGCGATCCGCGTCGCGTGCCATTTATGATGCGTGGTTCATCTGTATAAGAACGAATGAATAATGATAAACACGATCTTTCGACACAGACGAAAATAGAGATACTAGTGGAGATGGCCAAAGTCAATCTAAAAAAGTGCTCCATTTTTCAAATTATTTTCCTCACAATTTTTTTGAGATGTTTTACAACAATATGAGATAACAGCTGAGCTCGCTGCGAACAGTGAGGAAGAACGCGTATTATAAACAAACACAGCCAAGATGAGCAGTGTCCGAAAAGTTCTTCAAATCCATTTATCGATACTTAGAACTTAGCCAGTCCTGCCCAATAGAGATGCAGCTATTTTACATATGACATAGAAAATTCAATTTTAGGGCTGCTGGTGTGTGAGCCTTCCGAGCGAGACTACTATGCTTTAAATTTGCTTAATAGGCAGACAACAAAAAATCGCAATCTAGCTAAAGAGCAATTTTTACGGGCAATTGTCTGACATTTTCATACGTTGTGATATAATGAATATTTGTTGAATAAAGCAAAGCCATCTTTGTCAGCAACTCTTTTCAATGTTTCGTATGGTCTAACACAGGTATAAGAATACGTAAGAAACGTAGGTCAAAAACTGCTTGTGCTGCCTATTGACTATTTTCCAGGTATATCATGAAAGCATCATTTTTTTTACAGAAGAACTCTTTTTTGTGCAACTTAAGAATCCGAGCTGCAACATCTGTGAACTTTGTTGCTTAGCGCAAGCCAATTATAGATTTTCCTCATGCAGAAGTAATTATAGGCTGCTGAAGTCTGCAAATTCACAAGGTTTAATGCGAAACATTAAGCAGGCACTGGATAGATATAGGATTTTCATTTCTCGAAAGCAAAGCACAGCAGCATGTCGAATTCATCACTAGCAATGCTTGACATGTATCATCCACACAATTTCCTACCAAAATGACTACTCAATCACATTTGCCCCCCCCCCCCGCTGCGCTTTGGATACAACTACATCTACAGGCACGAGCTTTTTATGAAAAAAATTAAAAATGATTAAAAGGTTTAAATTTCATCCGTTTCCCAATAGCTCCAAACCTCGCCCAGTACCGTACCTGAGGATACCGATCGGAAAGAGTACGGTAAAGGGCGAAAACTGACAGTTGTATTTCTTGCCTATAAATGAATCACAAGCTTCCCCTTCATTAGCATGAGAAGTACAGTCACTTAAATTTGCTGCTTGGATACTGTCCTCGGAGAGAAGAAAAATGAAATGGCTCTTTTTGATTGCATAATTCGTCCAAAAGCGATGTCGACGACAGCGAAGCTACATATCTCAAGAAATCCATGAAAGACAGCAGAGAGCCATAAAAATTTCCGGTCAGGTGCAGAATCTGGCAGACACAGGTCAAAAAACACCAATTTCGTCGTCTAAAGAAACGTAATTGCAAGCGAAATCGCTGCTCGGGGAACAGAGCAAACAGCGTTTGATGAAATTTCGTGCTTTGAATGCGTATCCTCAACGCCAATTCGGTATCAGATGTCGTGCTGTCGTCGTGGACATTGCATTTGGATTGAATTATGCAATCAATGAAGGCTTTCGTTGTCGGGTAGAAATCAGCGGGGGGGGGGGGATTGAAATTACGAAAGTATGATGGCAAAGACTTTCATTGGTTTTTTCAAGTTGATGAAAAAAAGAGGGATAGTAGGGTTACCCTGCAACCTAACATGTGCATCTGCACACAATCTGCACATTTCGCGTAGAAATGATTCTGCAGATTTTAACACATAATTTCCTTTGGGAACCTTACGACGCTACTCTAATGCCTGGGCAGAACATAGACCAATTAAAAGACACTGGAAAAGCATTCAACCAAAAGTTATGTGTCAATCTCGAGAAAACGCTGTATTTTACGCGCAATTGCGTGTCATGTGCAGTTGCACATATTAGATTACGAATTGTCTCGATGAGGTCAAAGCACAGAACCGGAGAAAGAGGGAAGTGCCTGCAACAGTTCCAACTTTCTCTTTCATTTTTTTCATCAAAAATGATAAAAAGATGAAAATCAATAAAAACTTGGCTGCGGTACACTCGCATTCAAAAAGATATTATTTTGGCTATTGCCGCGAATTGTATCGCAATAGAATTTCTATCAAGCCAATTTCGGACAACACACAAACAAACAGTAGGATATAATCTGTCGGATCATATTGATGTCAACAATCTTCAATTTCATCTATGGGTCAACAATGGGAATGATACGAATGGAGTTAGATGAATGCTAGTTGAGTTTGTGAGTTGAGTTCCGCCAAATGAGCCGATTACAGTAACAATACTTCCAAGTTCTAAGCGCTACTAAATATGTTCAAAATACTATAGATTTTCCGAAACCTTATTTTTTCATGAAGTTGTAGATATGAAATCAGTGGCAATACCTCATGCATTCAAGCGCTCATGTTCGCCAAATGCCTCATGCACCTAATAAAAACTTTCATTATTATGTCAACCTCTGTCCAGCAAAGATAAGTGCTTCAGTAGATATATTTAAAGTCTGTATTGACTGAGCTCTAAGGAGAAAAAAATGGGATATGGAAAAAGTCGTATGGGAGAAAAAAAGATTGGTCCTTTGTTGCTTATTGCATGTTTCGAACTTCATAATTCTTTTGCTCAAAGAAAACATATGAGATGCAAATAAACATGCCTCAGAGAAGTCTCCTTGACTGCGGCAAAAAATTTATCTCAAAGAGGAAGCGAGGGGGGGGGGGGGGGTGGAATTTGGGAAGAAGTTTTTTCTAACTGAGAACTCTGCAAAATGGCATACCAAAACGCTAAACGGCAAAAAAAGTCCATTATCGTAGCCAGGCCATGCAAAAAATTTTGGGTGAGGCTCTCGGTTAATTCGCAAGCTTATAATCTCAAAATTTTTTAAAGACTTTTTTGAACTAATAAAAATTTCACATAACCACAAATTTCACACATTTCACACAAAAACCACAAAAGTTGTCACTTTGACTTGTTTAGATCATTCAAGTTACTTGCATGATACTTCTGTCTTGAAGTCTATATAGCTCAGGATATGAAGAGGGACCATACTAGGACAAAGAATTCTCTATTGAAAACCACAAATAGTCGTCTTCCAAGTGCTTTTTTCGCCCCAAAACTTGTTGTCTAACTGCAGCCAGCACTACTCCCAAAATAACATGGTGGCTTCGTTTGGAGACGAATCCAAATTAGACCCTGCGAGTAGAGAGATCGATTAATATCTCATCTGTGGAACGTGTGTTGGTTGTTATGGCGGAATGCCAGAGCGAAAATTGATGAAAATTAGAATGCATGCGACTAGTGCGAGGTACATAATCTCTTGTGGCCAAGGGCATTTTTATAATTCAGAAGGAAGTATAAAAGTGACGCAGAAGAGAAAAAAAACAGAAATTTCTCAACTATAGAAGTTGAAGCGAGTCAAAGAACTGAGGTACATAATGTGAAAAAAAATTTTTTTGCCTAGTGTATGAGTATGAGTTAATCGCGAAGAACAAGGAAAAAAGAGAAAGGAACTCAAACAAAGAAATCAAACTTGAAAATCATTAGTTTCCTACATAAAGTCTCCAACGATAATTTTAAAAGACTGAAGTCTCTAATTAAAAAGAATTTTCTAATTCAATACATGTACCTTGAAGGGGGAAAAAATCAAGCCTTTTCAAGTCTTGAAGCAGAAATCTGTTGATATACAAGAAATAGAGTCTTGATTATGCACACAAGATATAATTAGACCACTTCACAAAACTTTTTAAAGTGGCTTTAGACTATTTGGTGCTACCTTCATGTAAGAAGTCAACAGAAGAGTCAAGAAAGGTACTGTAGCTAGAATATGAGTCATAAAAAGACTTTTTTAGCCCAATCAAGAAAAAAAAAGAAAAGTTAAGCTTCAATGTTTGATGCTTTAGATGCAAAGGTTGCATTGCCCTCTTCAAATGCATTCCGCCCCGAAAAACAAAGCCAATCTGAGAAGATTCAGGGGGAATTCAGGGGCATGCACGAGCGCAATAATAAATGCCCATTCCATGGGAACAATTTCTCTCGACGACGATAAAGCGTTAAAAACTCTAATAAAGCTGCTATTATACGGTGATTTCCAAGCATTTTGCCCCCTAAAAGGCTTGCTGTACTGCAAAGAAAAACTACATGCAAAAAGTCGACCTGAACACTAAACGAGCAAAAGCTATGGGATTCTATTTCAGTGCAGATGGATGTGACGGCAAGCCGGGACGATGGCGTGCAATTCCAGCATCATGACTGGATTCTGCTCAAACATTCCGAATGTTACCATAAAAATTCCCATACTCGTTGCAGATAGGAATAAAAAAAGGAAGGCAGCTTTCAGTATCAGCGAAATCAGAAATACGGGTAAATGAACGTTTAGAAATCGTACATCATAAGTTTGGAACTTCAAAAGCAAAAAATGTATAAGCGGCGACGAAATTTTGCTGGTCCTAAAATCCAATTTAGAATCTACTATACACACAGCATCGTGCCAGCTTACTAAAAACAAACTTCAAAATTTGCCCAAATTCAGTACCCTATCGAAATGACGA